GGGGGGGGGGGGGGGGGGGGGGGGGGGGGGGGGGGGGGGGGGGGGGGGGGGATACATGACGTATGACGTACTGTACTCCTACCTCGTACTCGCGAGTGACGTGTCGGATGAAGTTTGCCTTCTGCGGTTCGGTCCAATTGTTGAGAAGCTGGTGCACCTGAAACAGGAGCGATCACGAGGCAGAAACAAACACATTGGCCTCAATCATGCCATGAGGTCGTTTACTAGTGCCGACACCCAAACCGTCCGGTAAGCCGATGTACGTGTCAACTCATGCCATTGACAACGGTGATAGCTCGCGAAAGTATGCAAACATTTATGTACACGAATGGATCCCTTACCGCACTTCCGCACGAAGCACAAATTTTGCATAGACATCCAGCACGCCTCACCTTCACAGCCACATCCTCGGCGTGGACCAGATCGAACGCGCGCCACACCTCGCTGAAGCCACCCTTGCCGAGCAGATTCAACAGAACATACCTTTTCGAAGCACATCGGTGGGCAGAGTGTAAGTTCAGGCGCGGGAGCCGTCGAACATCATATGTCACGCAACAAACCAGACCAATCGCGATGTCCCGTATTACAGACTATGGCAACGCTGTGATAGCGATCACACCACAGCATGAATCGTGTGTATGCACTCCGCAGCGCATATATAGTCGTCTCAACCGCAATCCCGCGCGATGCCTTCCACAGCAAGTTGCATTTGCAAATTTACCCTGAAGAAATACCTTCCGTTGAGGGTAGGTCGCTTGGCAAACTTGGATCGGTCTTCGTGCGCCACCCGCTTCAGTTCGCGGATGTGCAGCACTTTACGCGCGTCCAAAGCACGCTTCTCCTCCTGTTTCAAGCGAAATCGACACGGGTTGCGTTAAGGGCGGGGACCTCAGCACAGAATGAGTAGCTGGAAATGCAATGGTGGCCGCTGCTGCCTATGACTGAAACGGGCGAGCTCGCCGCACAGCGTTGTCGTGCAAAATAGGGACGATTCAGACCGGGGGGAGGATGGCGTTGACCAACATCGGAGATCCGCAACAAGTCTGCTCACTGCTCATGGGGAGACGCACCTGCAGCGCCAGTTCTTCGCGCTTCAGTGCCGTGAGGTGCATTCGCACGGTCTCCTCTTCTTCGATGGCCTCTAGCCTTGCCTGCCCGCTGAAAGATCCATCTCCCGCCGCGGGCGCAGTCGATCTTAACAACCTTCAAGCGCATGCAACAATAGTAAGCGCGGCAATAAGGCGTATGACTCAAGCAAAAAAGATGTCCACGTATCGTCGACGGGAATTGAAACGCAAACCGCATCGGTCGCGGGCATTCCCGGCGAGCCAACCCTTCGCGTGCCAAAATGCATCACTTCAAGTGGAGCCTATTCTACAACCATACGCCAACTCGAAAAACATGGACCACGATGTCGACACAAGCACTGAACCGCGCTTGTACGCGCTTGTACGACTCACGACACCACCAAGACTACGGGATGGGAAGCAAGCACCAACCTATCTGCACACTCACTTTGAGACTGCCCTTTTCCTTGCCTCGAGCTTGGTCTTCCTAGACATCATGGCCGCCGTCTTCTTCTCCACTTCCTTGAACGATGTTCCCTCTTCAAAGGCCTCGACATACTTGCCGATCTGGAACAAACCAAAGTTGGACATCAACATGCAATGCCACCAGCGCAAAAGCGCTTGCGCGAACAAGTCGTGAGCCGAATTAATCAACGGTAGTTGCCAATATAAAGAAACGAAGAAATCGTGTCAGCATGCTGCGCACCCCTCCAACATATCATGTCCTGCCGCTGTTGTAGGCAACGACACCGACGGCACGAACGAGGGGTTTCAAAGCCTCTTCCTCCTGAAAGGTTCGTGAACTCACATGCCCGGTTTTGACACTGACGATCTTGCCAAGTTCCAGCATGTCCCTCGTCAGTGTTGCTCTGGAATCGCTCGCCTCCTGCGCGGCGACCTAAGCAAAATAACACCCAAGAAACACGCAAATTTACCTAGAACGGCACGTTGCTACTTGGGATGTGGACGGTTTGGTCTCGGCGTCATTCGACCCCGGGCGAAAGACGTGGGGCACCCCAAGTTGGGCTTACAGTTGCCTGGTCAAGTATATCGTTTGCAGCGGTGATGCTGACTGACTATCCGCGCTAACGGTATCCGATGCACTTGCTGTGCGTGTTGTTCTTATAGCAAACGTTTTCACCTTTCGCAGAAGCCCTTCGACAACAGACGTGAGCTGCTTCTTCTGCGCCTCTTGATCCGTCTCCTTCGCCTTGAACTCGTCCATCGTTCTTTCCAGCTGACTTCGAAGAGAGTCGACCTCCAGAGCGCGAGAGACGACGGCAAAACGAAACGACATGCAACGACCCACGGCATTCCTTAGCATATCATGAGCAGCAGCAGTCGTGGCGTAACAGATAAAGGGTCGCGACAGGCGACGTACATACCAGGGAAGCCGTCCAACATACAAGCTGCTGTGGCCAACCCACCATTGTTTCCATGCTTCCGCGCTCGAGATTTGCCCTTGCAAGTTCGTTTCGCAGCTCTCTCTCGACCGATTTGGCTTCCCTCAGCCTGTCGTGCACCTTCTCTAGGCTTTCTTGCTCACTGCCAGCCATTCCGATGTTCGCGCCAGCAGCCCTTGCCATTCTTTCTCCTGCTGGGTCTACAGCTTGTCCTCGGCTCTGGGATATGACTTGTGGAGCTTGATCCACACCTTGATCCCCCGCTGATGGCGCGGCGTGCAACAATCGATGGTGCGGTGCCCTCCCATCTCCCCCCCGGACAGTTCCCGTTAAGCCACTCCTGCCGGTTCGTGCGATCGGCTGTGCAAAACTTGGTTCACCACGGCAGCTGTCCCCGTCAGCACCACTCAGGTCCACCTCTTGAGGAAGCCCTGATGCGGCACGCATTTGCCCGGCGGCAACTTCGCCCGCGCCGTAGCTGGCGGCGAGGTTCTGCACAGCAGTGCCATTGGAAGGCTTGAAGAAGTACGACTGAATTGTCTTCGATGCCGCTAGCGGCGGCGCCTGTCCACCGCCTTTGCCACTCCTTCCACCGCTGGGTGGAGAAAACTCCGCACCTTGTGCCGTGCTTATCGTGGAGGAGTGCGGGGCAAAAGTATTGTCGTCGCCCGTGAGCGGATCGGACGACGTACCTGCCACGGCCTGGTGTTGCTTCGACCCGTCTGCATGATCCGACCGGTGGCTGGTTCGATCTGACGAGGCGCGGGCCCCTGCGACATGGAAGGAGGTGGTCAGGCGGGTCAGCGCGCTGTGCCACAAAGGTGCCATAACCACAACCTGAGTGCACAGCAACCGGCGGCGTGAGCGCCTCCCCTTCAACAAGCTAATGGCGCTCCCGCTCAAGTGAGTGCCTCATCAAGCGCGGTACTAGACACTACAGTAGTTGCACGAGCTCGGAAGACACAGCGAGGCGGGCGGTCATCCAAGGGTCTCGTATACCTGATTTCCCAGGAGCCTGGTTGTTTGAAGGAAGACTGCTGCCCTCTGCACTACGAGATCCTCGCCTCGCATGGACCTGCCCTCCACTCCCGCCGCTGGGCACTGCCCCTGCCCCTGTCCCTGTCCCTGTTGCGGGTGCGCGGGGTGGCTGATGATTGCCTTCGCCTTGAGGCAGACAGAAGCGAGGCGGTGGGGGAGGCGGAGGAGGTTGAAGGGTACCACCAGTGCGCGCGCGCTTCAATCCAGGCCCATCGTCTCCCGCCCCCTGGGAAGCCTGACGAGCGCTGCTCCAATCTCCACCTGCTCCGGGGCTTGTGCTCAACGTGCTTGGAGTCCCGGTATTTTGTAAGTGAGACGGAGGACGAGGTGGGCTAAACCCATCAGCTTCGGCGGCAGCCTGTGGCAAAAGAGGTCAACAGGGTTGGGAACATCAACGGTGTGCCGGTTGCTGTTGTCTCAAGCAACACGGATAGTCACGACATGCTCGTATCTTATCTATGCATACGGGGATAAATCAGGGCTACTTGTGGAGGGCAGGCCCTGAGACAATCACTTGCCAGCTCCCGACTCGCCTTTCGTTTGCCACCACTTCCATCCTTGATAGGGTCCGTGGGGGGCTTGCTGCCCCCCCCTCCCCCACCCCCACCAGGCGAACTCGCACTGGCGCGAGGTTTGGCAAACCCAATCGTGGACCTGGATGCAGCGACGCCGAGCGTAATAGGCGTGGCGACACGCGCGACAAGGTCAACTTGATCATTTGGAGCAGTGTGACATCGGAATTTATTCAAATTGCTTTTTCATCACAACTGCTATGAATCCCAGAGGTCATGCTGACCGACACGCCTACTCATGTCACCCACGAAAGCCAGTATCTCGGGACACAACCAGCTGTACAATGTCGGAACGAGGATACGCCGGCGTGTCCGGCTCTCTACGCGCCGTCTGTCCCGCCCATCCGTAATGATAGGCGTGCCTCACACCTCACACGCGCCTCTCTAACTTTTTTTGGTTCGTTTGTTTCCGTGTCGCTCCTCTATGTACATGATCAACTTGCTACTACGGGTAGAGGGCCGTAATGACAACAGCAACAGATATTTGCAAAAGGCAGATTATGGAGGGAAACCGCAACCCTACTTCACCACTGGTGTAGGCGTAACTTGTACTTGAGGGTATCTTGGGGTTACATATCGAGACACCGCCATGCCGAGCCGGCGAACGTCTTCTGCAGCAGCAGATGTAGACAGCGACCATTCTAGTCCACAATTTGAACGAGAGAAGTTCTGAGAGCGAACGAGAGCTGAAGCACCAAGCCGAAGTGGCTCACATGGAGTTGCTGTTATTTTCGCTGCCTCGACTCCCTTCGTTCGGCGGTAGCGACGCGTCCCGAGACTCGTTCCCAGCCCCGACCATGCGGGCTTCCAGCAGGCTGAGCTTTCGAAGGGTCTTGGAGTCATTCGCCGCTATGGCCGGGAAATTGTCCATGGCCAACCCAGAAAATTCCATCGAGTCCCAGCAGCGCGCTAACGCCTGAAAGGCCGCGATCCCTGTTCAGTTGGGAAAGCCGGCGGTAGTTTAATACTTCGTACGTCTGTGAGAGAGGGGAAGGAAGGGCGGCACGCGAGCGGAGGGCGTCGCAGCACATTTACGATTACCTCCATACATGTACCTATTGAGGGCACTACAAATATTATAAAATGCATCTTATTTTTCGCGCTTTCACAGGCATCAAATTTCAAATTTTCAAAGCCACGCGGCACGGCGGTACGCGAGTATTGTCGATATTAAAACGGATTTCCATGCAAGGTGTGCTTGATATGGTGGCAACGATCTCGTGCGTTCTTCGTCACCCACTGACTGAGAATGGAACTGGAGATCGATTTGGTTCCCTCTCTTGTCGCTGTCTCTGTTCGGAGCTCGTCCTACGGATTACGGATGTCGTTGTGGCAAGTCGAGTTCAATCACTTACAAATCTACACACATGGCATGTCCGTGCGATCGCCGGTGCCCGTTCGACTTAAGGACAAAGGAGTGCACTGTACCAGCAAACTTTCCTCACCTGTAGTTGGCCTCTGCGGGCAGGCCAGGCAGAAAGGGTGTGCGGCAAGGGGAGGTATTTCGTGTAGGGGGCTGCACTAACTGGACTCCTGCCGTGTACTACGGGTGGGGGGTTGTAATTCTCTACTGTGGCGCCCCTTCGATGCCTTCACCAGTTGAATCACACGGGTACTGCTCCAGCACACCCTCTCGCGTCGTTGCTATTGGCAGCACGTGCAAACACAGGGCAGGCCGACTTTATGGAACCCGAGGAGGAACCTTTGCAACGTATAGGGGGAAATGGTAGTGGGGAAGATGTTGATGGTCGACCAGCGGTGCCTGCTCGGGAAGCAAGTTCCGACGCCCCATCTCCAACCCGCACCAGGAGAAGCGCTCGGCGCACAAGTTCGGCCTCGAAAACAGCAGGACCGCCGCCATACCGATCTCGTAGTCTCACGACTCCCCTCCCAGCGGCGTTCCCTCCCCCTCCGAGGGGACGAGTTGCCATAGTAAACGACGGCGATGGCGATGAGGGACCGAGTAACGGCACATCGCCAGAGATTGATCAGTCGCGCGTTTCCGCTCAAGGGCTGGATGTCGGACATGAGCTGGAGCTGTCTGTTCCGTCCCATCAGGAGCATTTGACGGCAGACGGGCAAAGGTGCGCGCGCGATGTTGCGGCGCTCCTCAAGGTGGTGCAATAGTATGTACTGTACCTTTTCCGTAAGACTTTTGAAAAGGTACAAGTTGCAGTAACGGGAACAGCGCGGGGTGCGAACGACTCGGCAGTGTTCTGACACAACCTGGACCTTTGAAGTACATCACACCGGTCTGCAAACCAAGATTCGTGTCAAGGGTAACCTTCTCATCGCAAACTGCTATAAATCCCGCATCATTTGCTGTCGAAATAACGAACCGCATTGCTATCTCAAAGGGGGGGAGCGGATTGAGAATGGTGGCTGCTCGCACAAACGAATCACCCTCGAAGTTGCAACAAGGATAAATATGCATAGACAAGTACAGCGGGCGGAGAGATTCTACAACCTGCCGCTCTCGGAAAGTTATTCTGCGTGCGCCGAGCGCATCGGGCATCCATGGGACCGTGCATACAGGTCTACCATGATGCTCGCCAGTGTCGACTTCTGTAGGATAACCTCGTTTTTTAATTTGTGAGTGTAATAATTGTAGTACTGCACATCCTTGGATGATGTCGGTATTGCTGTGAACCCAGGCAGATTAGACTACAGGGTTCTAAATGACGTCGGTCAGCCCATGTACAATCAACACCTGTGGAGGTAGGGGGAAAAATGCACCACATGTACAATGGCTTCCTCGCATTACAAACCGACAGTAGAGAGAGATGCCAGGCAGGTTACTTTCGCTCCCCATGTTGATGACTGTTTTCAATGCGCGTCTTCCCAAGGATATAGACCCTGCAGCAGTAGCCTAAGGAGTTGACCGTACGGACATTTTCTGCATGGGTGAGTCTCTGGATGACGGTAAATCCCTTTGGGTTTCCAGGAATTCAGCGTTGTTTCCCTTTGTTCTGCTTCATCTCCACGTCTGATGGCCTTGACCGTACAGCCATCGCGGTTATCAATCTGTTCGTTCTCGCTCAATACCTCGATTAATCGTACTACCTTGTCCGGGACACGGCGACATTGATGCCAACACACGCAACTGGGCTATGTTGTACACACCTCGCCTAGTGGGAGCATCGCGCATATCGAACCAGATCTCACAACCGACATTTCTGATGACCCCACGGCGTGAGCTTTAGAATCACGACTACTGTTGTCATTTCACGACATTCTCACACACCATGAAACTTTGTCTCAGTTCAGTGGGCAATGACTGGTTGGTTGAGGAGCTGTGGCAACGCGTATCTGGCCGTTTTTTTCTCCGTTTGTGCCCAATCTTTGGCGTGGCTGATCTCGACCTTCATGACACTCCTTTATTGGAACACAATATTCGAGTGAAATGTTGATATTGGGCCAAGATTTGCCATTATCACGATTCACGGGGATTAAATCTTCCGATAAATCTTTGGCAATATTTGTCCGGAGCGAAGAAGTTGCCCTTTCAAAAAAATATTGACCCGAAGATTTGTCCACTCGAGCTTGTTGGACAAATGTTCGAGCGGGCTGACAAATCTTCACGGTTGGTGCGGTGAGATAGATTACCACAGGTCAGTCAACGTTATCGTCTATATCGCTTTGAAATCTGCACGCGGTACACTCGCAAGGGCCTCTAACGCACCCTGGCTTTACTGTGTCGACGCCAAGGGCGCCGACATCGTAGAACAACGATCAAGGCGCGCGAATAAAGTACACTTTTGCCCTGGCTTGTGCCGCGTGCGTCATCAACGGAGAGCACGCATCTCCAACTTTAGAACAAATACCGCCGTTTACATCGTTCACTCCGTGGTCGACGCATCGAGGCCCAACCTTCGATGCTGCCACGTCCACTAACCGTTCTCTCTCGGACGTAAGTGAGGTGGTTGTAGGGTGCTTTTATTCAGAGATAAAAATCGTTGGTGACACGAACTGTTGCTTCATCTGTGGAAGGACCGTTCAAAGAGTACTCTATTTTCAAGTAGAAAACAGCACTGGCGGAAAATTGTCGACAACAGGTCAGCCGTGTGCAAAGCTCCTACCTCCTGATCGAATCGCCTCACACGCAAGCCGTTTGCACCCGAAACAGATCCGTGAGTCCAGATCACGGCACCGAAGGTTTCACCTCGGTACGCCTTTTACCTGTACGGGGTCATCGGATCTCTGGTTGATGCACATATTTTGCCGTCGGACCAAGTTGGACAGCAAGACTTGTTTCTCCGCCTGCATGAGACCGCGGGTAAAGTTGCCTCTTGTTGCACCCCAGGTGGGCGCCCACCGCTGGTATCCGCCCACAGTGTTGAGGTTATGCAGCTATGGGAGGGATAGCGCCTTGTATTACTACATCGTGCTCACTGCTGTTCATCTTGATCAAGTGGCAGTTGCGCTTTTTTGCAACTTCAAGGAGGCAAGACGAACAGCACGCCGCCTTGTCGACATTCCACATCATTCCACTTGCCCCCCCCACATTTTGCGGTACTACATACCTTGGGACATTTCTTGTGAACAATATTTGCCAATATTTTCCCCAAAGGTTGTGTCGACATAAAGATGGGCCTAACTTCTCTACAAATGCAGAACATTTTGCACAGCTACGACTAGCTACACGATGAAGATTCAAAGCTGCTGCGAATGGAACTCTGAGCTCAAAAATTGCCCTCCCTCCCACAGCATGTGTCGGGCAGTATATGGTGCTGAGCGAAAATTTTCAAGAAACGATGGGTCTACACCTGGGATCCTGATCGTCTGCCGTCTCTGTACCGTCCCAAATTCCATTCAGGGAACCCCCAATTGTGATCGTGAATGGTTTCTTGGCCTAGCTAAACTACGTTTCAACCACACTTGCCGTATACAAGGACACAAAAAAGCACACGAACAGACACGACAGGCAGGCAGCAAACAGATGTCGTCATAGAGCACTCTACGGCTATCGAGGTATAAAGTACGCCAACTGTTATCCTTCGCTGAAACCGGAGTCCATCTCCCACCGTGGTTGCTTGTTTGTTCGCCAGGTATACCACATATGAGGTACTGGTACGGATGGGAGGACGTCAGTGGAGCGTGCGGAAACGTTACTCGCAGTTCGATCAATTCCGGATGGTGGGTCAACGTTGAGGTTTCTGCACGGGCAGAGTTGCACGTCACCACTACGTCGTTCGGCGAACAATGACCTTTGCGTTGCCGTAGGCTTCCAGTACGATGGTGTCGCACCAGTCGCCTTTCTGATCGGAAGGTCGAGGCAACCCGTTTGAACGGCGATTTATCGCAGACGAAGTTGCACTTGCGAGTCGCGGCTTGCACTTCGCTTCATGGGATGATCTTGATGTCCTTCAACCTATTCAAGCATGTCGCTGAGGTCAACCGCGCTGCCTTCTTCCCCATTTCCGACCTCGCTGGCGTCTTTTTTGCCTGCTTGCCCGAATTTTTCATCTCAGTCGCTCCGAAAACAGCACAAGGAGGTGGGCTCTTTCCGGTTCCCGCACAAGTCCAAGTTTAACACCTTCGCCGAACACACCAAGGTGAGAGAGAATGATAAGCGGCTGACGGAAGTGCGCTCATCACATGAGCTACGCAACACTTGGATAATGTTTTGGGGAGGGACCTAACAGTTGGAGGTGCTTTCATCTCACACCATTTTTTTCAGCGCACCCTTATCTTCTTGTTTTATATGTATCCCCGCACTGTACCCGTGCATGCGATCGTCCTCTGTATTGTCAGGAACGGCGAAGGACAGGGTTCGACGAATTCCTTCGACTCGTGGTGAGTTGCAGTTGTAGGAGGGCGCGGGTTACGTACAGGAACTCGATTCACCACATTGGTCGAGATTCCAAGCGCTGGCTAAGAACGCGCACATGATGCTTCTCCAAGGCAGGGCCGAGATATCGCCACCGTATCGCAAAACTACACCATGTGGGGGGGCTGAGACAAGCGCATTTCCTTTGCAAACGCGTGGGCTACTCGGGTTGACCTCACCTAGGCCAATCTTCACCCAAGGCCGGAGGAAGTGGACGTGTTCTTGGCGATGGACGAGCATGGAGCGGGTGTGCGTGGAAGATCTGGCAGCCGACCATTAGCCTGGACTAGCACGAAGACTTCCCCGTTGAACCCGCCCCCTGGCCCTGGTGAGAAATCATTTTTCTTTCGGCAGGAAATCAGAACGTCACTTGCGCAGACGACGAGCTGATTTTGTTGCAGAGTGTGCGCATACCGTAAGCCAATGCCGTTCACCGTTGGTCCAGTATGCAGAGTGACGAGCGATTAGGGTATGCCGGAAGTTGCTCTCACCGACCTCAGATGCAAAAGGCCACCCGCCACGTTGACGGCGAAGATACGTAACCCTAAGCCGTTTTTTTAGGTGAGTGTGACAAGTTCGCACCCTGTCATCTTGTGCACAGCGTAGCAGCATAAGTTCAAACGTTTTCACCTCGTGCTGAGACCACTTGTTACAAACACAACTTGCCCTGTCTCTGTTTCCAGTTTTCCCGAGTCAGCACCGAGTAGGCCTTCAGACGAGAATATTATTTCAGTCGTCTCCAACATGTTTGTGCTTGATTATTTCTGCTATTCCGTTCGTGTCGAATCCTTTGGCACGTGTGTATTTGCGTTCGGAGCGCAGCTCTCGGACGAGTGTGGTCAGGGAGCGGACGTGCGAACAGCGGGAGGCGGTTGGCCAGTGGTTCGGGGGTTGTCCGGAATCCCAAGGGGGGTACTGTACACCGCATCCCACGGTTTCCACCACTTGCCGATCAGGTACTGCACTATTTTCGCTATGAGAGCACTTTACCGCCAACACTTCGCACGACGCGCACGTCTAGTCACCCTCCTCCCCCCCGCCGGACATTCGATTGGGCGTAGCTCCCCTCGAAACCGGTCGTCGCCAACCACCTGCTGCCATTCGCACATGATTCCTTAGCTATACTCGCCCACATCCCATACATTTAGGGGCGGAATGAGAAGGCCGCTGAGGCGGCAGCGGCGGCGGCGGCGGCGGCAACGGTGGCGGCAGCTTCGTCATCGAGAAACGGGCTATCCGGGGTAGTGCACCAGGTGGGGAACAGAGAAAGTTTCCGGATGTAGAACCGCTATCCATGCGGGGCGACGGAGGGAGGGCATTTTTTGTGTCGTTCTCTTTGTCGGGGCCGGGCCAGTACCATGCTTCGGGAAAGTGATTGTTGTTGCCATCGTTCTGCCTTGCCTCCTCATATTGTACGGTGAGCGGTATTGTAGAGCAAGGTGTGAACCTTCCTATTTGTTGGTGTTGTTGCCTAGGCGTTCAAGACGTAAGAGCCCCGCACCAATTAGGTGTATTCCGTACGGGACCCGCCGTGTTAAGGTGAGTGTTGGATATCGTATCGATTTTTTCGATATATCGCATCGATTTATGGTATCGATATCGGATATCGAAAACATTTGAACTTTTCGATTTTTCGGTATTTCGATATCGATACGATAAAACGATAAATACTCCACGGACCCCCGATGTTCCACACGGAACTCCCACAGCTGCACACCTCGCAGCACACATCAGCTGCACGCCGTGAAATGCGCGCATTCAACGAAGTAGCTGCAGCTACTATCCATATATCTCTCGTGTAATTGCGCCATTTTTCTCTCATATATGTGAGAGCTTGGCTTTTGTGCGACGAGCAAGCTTGCTTTTCTTGTTGCGGCGTGCGATACCACTGAGCTTTCTTGAAGCAGTAGTGTAGAATAATGAACTGATGAATATGATTTTGGTTTTTCAGTTTAGATGTAGACTACTAGTACCCACATGCTGTAACATGTTTTATCAAGCAGTTGGCTGTACACTGCAGGCTTCGGAGGCCTATTTTCCGGTAATTTTGATGGGAAATGAAGCGAAATTGCTCCAGCTTCTTTTTGGCCTCCGGCGGCGCCTCCAGCGGGGCCCCCTCACCAACCGGGGGAGGGGCGCTTGGGCTCGCACAGCGAGCTTCCGCGCCTTCGCGCGTCAGCTTACTGTGCTCGCCGACTCGTTGCGCTCGCCACCAACGGCTCGCTTCGCTCGCCAATATCGATATCGATATCGATATTCAACACTAGTGAAGATATATTGTGGAACAGAGGTTTGTTGCCTTCTCTCAGGAAACAGCACCTGTTCTCGAGTGTTGGCGTGTACCGTGACAAGCATGGAAATTTGTTCAGAATCCACCGACAATGTTCCCCCGCTCCTCGTGTGTTGTTCGTTCGCTCCTTGCTAACGAGTGCTAGGCTGATATGATGCTTCGAAGAGTACTCGGACCGGACCTGTTGAGCATGCTGTGCGTGGTGGCTGTGTCGGCTGTGAGCACTGTAGGCGTGTGGAAGGTGATGCCGCTTGCTTGTCATGCCAACTGGAGAGTCTGTTGAGATGTTTTCTTTTCAGCGCACACGGGTGTTCCCCGTCAATCCTGAGTAGGCCATGTTTCGGTAATCCTTTCGATCAGAATCCGTCCATTTTTGAAATTGTGCATGATGTGCATGCCGCAATCGTTCCCTAAAGGTCGGAGGGAGCCCAGGTCTTGCGACATTGGTAATGGCTGTGGCAGTCGGGCTTTTGGTCCAGAATTGGGACAGAGGCCTAGATGTGCTGAACGTTGGCCTGGACCTCGTCAGACTGGACAGTGGGCACCCACCATCTCCTGGCAGGCGTAAGTGCTGGTTTTACCTTGGACGGGTAGCGTTGCTGCGACCATGTCTAGTCTCAACCACCTCCTCACACTTATGGGAAGGACCAGACCGAGGTTAAACCGATGGCTAACCCTTTCCATGTTTGAATCGCTGCAACACTCTCCCACTCAGAACGAACGGCCTCCTACGCCTCAAGTCAAAGCGACAGGTCCCGGGCTGGATTGCGTCCGCCTGTGACTCGTCGGAAAATTGGACGGCAATGACGACGTTCCATTTGGGACAGCGCTCGTCAGCAAGAAGTTGACGCAATTCACGGTCCGTGTTTTGAAAACACGTGGAGCCCGTGGCAGCCTGCCAACAACAAATGCTTGATTGGCCGTTCGGCGCGGAAACCGTTTCCCCCAAATGTTTTTTGCAGCCTCTTTTTGTTGTTGTCTGGTGCACACACCCGGTGGCGATGTCCACGAGGTGTATGTCTATCTTGAACCACGGCAGTGCATGTGTGTTTTTAACCATGTGCGTTGATAGGTAGAACGAAAAAATCATGCCGTGAAGGTTGCAGTAGCCTATGCAGTAGGTTGGCTTTGTAGCTCCTGGATGTTTTCATGTAACTTCCACGTCAAGAGCTGTGTAAATGAGTATGTTGCTGGGTGAAATTGGCTGTCGCGCTGGGGATTAGTACTGCCTCGCCAGGCGTTGTGTAGCTGCTGTTGTTTGTTGGTCTTGCAGGATGCAGAGCTCCGGCTTGCGGTGTTACGGATTTTGTATGCATACAAGTGAGGCATTTCCATGCAGTGATAGATATCCACGAACGCACACCACGTCTAAAGAACACCATCAGCTCACCAAGCCGCTTCCTACCATGGATACTGCCACTCCACAGAAACCACAGCAACAGACCTATATTGGTTCGGGAAATGGCTCAAGCAGCGTGGTGCCACATACATGCCCCGCGCTCGCGATCGCTCTACGATATAGAGGCTACCCACACATACCAGCCCCACCCGTTGCCAAGATATCCCTTATCGCATGGACGGGTGTTTCGGGTGAGGTACTACCATCACCGCACATCTCTCATCACATCTGTGCTGTTATTATTTTATGTTAATTCAGCCGAAGACTGCTGTGATACCGTGTTGCACGGGGGCTACAGTGCAAATCGCTAAAAGTGAACCAACATGTCCTACTACGGTAGCATCGCGCAAATTGGGCCCTACACACTCCCAAGCGATTCATCGGATGGAGCTTGAAGCTTGAGTACTACTCCCAGCAGCAGCGCCGCCTTTTGCACCCCCTTTCCCTGCCAGGGCTTCGTGCGCTCCGTTTTCGCCTCTGGCGGCGGAAGTTACCGATTCACCGCTTGAGGTTGTGTCTCTATCCTTTTCTCGCTGTTCTGTTTCACCCTTCTTGGCAGCCGCATCTACTTTCGATTCTCCTTCGTCTTCCTCGTCCTCGTTGTCGTCGTCGTCGTCGTCGTTCTCGGGTAATTTGACGGCAGCAGCCGGCTTGACGGGGGTGGTGTTCGCGCTGGTAGCCCTTCTCTCCAACTGCTCCCGCTTCTCCTTCGCTCTAGCGTCCACCGAGCAGCCGGGACACAGCCAGAAACCAATCTCTTTCTGGTCCTGTAGCGTTGTGAGCACGATTGAGGAAGGTAGTTGATCGCTCGACGGCCGGTGAGCACAATCCACGGCTCAAAGTACCCTGCCTTACTACGTCGCCCACTTTGCTCCAAAGTGGGTGAGGCAACTCATCGTTATCTTGGAGGGAAAGCTTCAACTTACCACCATCTCAAGGCCAACACAGTGGTAGTGGAACCATTCCCCGTGTTCACAGTCCTCGTTGTCGCAGCCGATCTGTTGAGAGAGTCGACAGTGAATTCGACACGACAAACGAGCAACACGGCACCAATACGCGCACACATGAAGGACAGGGCGAGGCCACAAGGAAAGCATTCAGGGGTAGGGTGTTGTTTAGTGGAGCCGGCGTGCAGAAGCGGGTGTCCAATCTACATATTTTCCGTACATTTTTCGGTGCAGCAGGTTGCCATCCGCAAGCGCAGAAACGAGGGGCGCTCCACACCAAAAGAAACCAACAAATTGGCATGTGAGTAATACATTTACATATACATATGTAGTCACCCAAAACAAAGTAAATTTGCTGCGCAATGTTCTGCTCTCGAACTTCGACGCTGCGGTATGCATAGAACGAACACACAGGCTTGAGAAAATTCCAGGCCCCCACCCGCTCACCATGTCTCCCCAACCAACTTGGCGGCAGACGCAATAAACGGGCTCGTTAGTGCTGAGAAGATCGTTGCTCCTCACTGCCCCGCCAGCTGCCGCTCCCAGCGCCCCAGCTCCGACTCCCCCCGCCAAGGCCGCGGCCGGGTACGCCGCGACCCCTGCCCTCGTCTGCGGCCCGGCGAGCCCTCCGGCCGCCGCCAGCACCGCCGCAGCCGCCGCAGCGGTCTTCTTATGCTGGAAATTCAAGCAGAGGTCCAGGACACAACCATGGGCAAGATTTCGCATGATCAGGTGGTGTACATCGAGCATAACCACACAATACCCAAGAACATTCTTGTTCCGTATCAACTGAATCCACTGTCGACGCAAGTTTGACTCAACTACACGTATGGAACGTTTACATTTTCGTTTCCAACTACAATACGGTGCCACCAGTAGTCTCGACAAGGATGACTTTGATACCATGGCATCGCTTACCACCTACCAGCACATGACACCGATGCTCTATGCACACATCCAGCAGATTCTTGCGCAGTTCGAATGCACGACACCCAAATGTACCGGCAGGCAGGAGGGTTGTAACGTTCAACAAGAACCTGTTAATACCTCCGCGAACATTTCCGGCGCCAGAGATGGGATATCTGGCATGGCCCCATAGCTCTCCTTAACGTCCTTCTCCAGCTTGTCGATTTCGTCGTCTTCTCGTGGCAATACGGAAAGGAGTGCGGTACACATAGAGAAAGGAGTATGGGCAGCCGATCAGAAGCGTGCGCCCAGTGTAAAACTACACCAAAACCAGCCGTGGCACGTGCTCAAGCAACTCAACAGGCCTCTACCTGCACAAAGGCCAACAACGCGACAGTATCGCTTTTCTCACCGATGTTTTTAATGCAGGTGTCCAGCGCGCCGTACATCCTTTTGGTGATTGATACCTTCTCGCTAACGCTCTCGTCCACCTTTCGTCTCTTCTGTCGTGACTTCTGGAGGGCATCCTCGTCTATAAGGTTCTTGAGCTGTTCAGGTCGTGTCATCTTAATTATCGAACAAACACGCAGCCACATCAGGCGAACGGGAGCGAAGGAGATTAGCCAAGAACATGCGCCATGGCAGTTTTACACAAGTGTACACGATTGCGCTTGCTCTAGGAATACAGAATACTGAATACGAAATAAATAACGCTTAACTCGGGAGTTGGAACGTTGGAGCTACGTCCATTTCGGTCATGCCTTTGGTGTGTGGAGATTGGACAGAGAGTTGTGCGAGCCGACTCGCTATAGATGTCTTACGCCACATGTTTTACTCGTCCAAAATCATTCCTTTGTACATGCCATCACCGCTCGCAGAGTCTACCTATGCATCGTTTGGCCCTGCCTCCTCCGTGAAGGAACTACGATCGGAGGTCACACACACAAGGAAGTGACCTGACGTGTGCAGTGCATGTCTTCGTGTTTGTAATCAAGAGGATTAGGTCAACTCGCTCCCGTTCGTCCACGATCTAGTTGAGTTTTGCATACTTACGGACGAGCTCTTCACGCTGGCATTGAACACAATTGACCACCTCCTAGCTTTAGAGGGCATTCAGCAACATAAGGGTGCCCATGATACGACGCAATAAACCACGCTGAAAGCGAGTCAGCAACTCCCTCGGACAAAAAAGGTGTTGCGAGAGCCGGGTCCTTTATCTTCAATGTACAATGCACCGGTACCTGTCGGTATTTGGCCTTGGCCCTCTCGAGGATCTCTGCCTGGTCCCTGCTGAGCTCGGCCGTAAGGCGGTGTGTCTCTTCGCTCAGCGTAGCGACTTTCTTCAGGTCGTCCTTCAGCTCGGTCGGAAGGTGAGCGCAAATTGCCAAGAACTCCTGGTCGCACCAGGTGGATCGATTGCCAGAACGTCAAGAGGTCCAGCATGCAATTAGTTGCCAGCAGGACCGAGGCTAATGGACATGCGAGTGGAAGAGTGATCCTGGGTTTGATCTTAGGAGTCGTGGATATCACATGCCACCGAAGCCCAAAGACCTTCATTCCTGCCTTCGGCAACAGCTAGAATTATTGCCGAAATCATACACCGTTGTCTCGTCTCCATTTTACTGTACTCCACTTAGAGACAAACAACCGCAATGGGATTGCAACTTTCGATGACATGCCTCTCGCTGTGGAATCTACACAGTGTCGAGGCAAACCATAGTAGTCGCGCTCAACTCAAATCATTTACCGTGGGTGTTTGTAGTAATCAGCTACATACACACGTATCCACGTCCGTTACGCTGAAGATACGTACGCATGTGTGAGACTTGCAGAACGCGTGCCGCGAAATTGCTGGTTGTGTCGAGACACTCCGCCCGCCAAAAGGCACTGTTATGTTGCCATTTCACCGTAATATTGGCCAGGAACCACGAAGACGATTACAGACACGTCTACCAAACGCGGCTTTACTCGAGAAGTACGACGGCCGTCATCCAAACGACAGCGTCGATTCGGTGTTTTTCATGGCAACCAACCCGGCAGGCTGCGTTGGAACACCCACCTGACCTTCATGCATAACCTGTTGAGTGAACTTATGTCTGAAAATATCCATTTCAACGTAGGTACACATACGAGACCGCATGCGTACGCAATCTCCCGAAACACAGCATTGCGTCAATGATTCGTCATGCCCGTCCCACGATACTCAAAAGCAGTCACTTACGCAGATGATAATCTCGTTGAGCTTGCTGTAGGGCATGCTACGCGGGTACAACAGCAGCACTGACGTTTGACATTCACCATTTTTTGCAAAGAGCTTGGCCACACACCAGCGACTGAGAGGTTCAGGTGGTAACCTCATCAAACCTTCTACTCGAGTAGCTCTACTGCTGTAGGGTTCGAATCTCGCGGTTGTGAAAAATAGCGGCCCACTCAAAGGAAGGAAGCATGTCCGCAAGAAGTCGAGGCTCAGGGTTTTGGAAATATAAGGAAGGTGGCGGGAAGAAAATTGAGTTCAGCCGTCAGCACTACACCAAACCAAAGTATATGGTAGTGTAGCAATCGGCCTACAGGAGGAGTATACTCAAAAATGTCGGTGATTCTTAGAAGCGGGCAGGCACGGCTGTTGCGTGTACGTACGTACGTACGCATTTACTACAAGTAGTCGCGCGACACATGCAGAGAGATGGGACGAAGGAACTGCTGAAACCTTCTTCGCGAAAAAAATTGAAAGCAAGCCCCGCAGAGGGAAAGGTGATATTTCTCCTGTGTCACCCCGGCTGGCGTGTCAAAGATAGACTACTCTTTGCACACACAGACTTACAGTAAATACACGCGATTCCGGAGTACTTGAGAGAATTGTACGGCGAGGGGGTCACACAGCAGTACAACAACATCCACTTTCGAACAGAAGAGGTTTGGATTTATGCAACAGTAGTGACATTGCCGGGGACCTGTAATTAGCCAAAAATCTCGCACGACACGGCAACACCGGCGTGAAATTAAATTTGAGAGCGACTGATGTACAGCAGACTGGGAGGTACAGCAGTAGGCCTTCGTGAGGGGCACCTACTGCGAGATGTCATCCATGTGTCCAATTCTGTACTGCTGTGAAAGACGCCCCGCACCTGTAGGTTGTCGCCATAGTCCATTAATGACTGCAATTGGTAATCCGTCTTCTTCGGGATTACCGCTGCAGGTGCCGCAATAGGGCCCACGCTGCTTCGTTTTCCAGCCTTCACCATTGTTCTCAGCGTCTCTACGTGTGTTTGCCGGCCTGCTCCTCCTGGCTACTGCTGGCCTGGAGAACTGAGAAGCAGAAGCCGCTCGACGCCTGCCTTATACCGCATCACTCTACACTCGCCGCGTACCATACTTGCGACGCTGCGACGCCCCCCCCCGCCCCCAATCCGTGTCACACCCAAGCAAGCCAGCGAACACATCCCCAACTACCCGACAGCCGACCAGCAGACAGAGCGAGACGACACCATACACAGCAACGGCAGCAGGGATCCGTGGGGATGGAAGTACGAGGCATTCGTGTGACGCCTCCGTGAACCCTTACCATCATGGAAGGAAGCAGGAGAAGAAGGAGGAGCAAGCGAGAGCGTACGAATCAGTCATCGTCCCGGCCCGTACTTGCATGCGGAGTTCTTCTGGTTTCGTTTGTACTCGTTGAGCTATGGGTAATGCACCACCATGGCCCGACCCATCGACCCGACCCGACGCCGCAGTACCTTGACTCCTACTCGAGACTGCCTGGTGTAGTTTCCCCTGGGAAAGCGGAGGAGCATGACTCTTTGCCACGTCCGGGGGCGCCCTCGGTTCCGGACTCGATGAAAGCAGCCCGCTCGCGGACCGAAGATGAAGATGTTCCCCGAGAACCCAGAACAGAAAGACCAGCAGCACCGGCTGCGGTGGCCTGGGACCATCCGAAGGAGGACCTTGCTACCGTCGCACTCGAATTGCCACCACGCCAGACTCTGTCGGGATCGCATGATGGTGTGTCGGGCAGCGAGGATGAGGACAATGGATACGGGGATATGAGAGTGGCGGTGCTGATCCCATACTCCGGCCCCGGCCTCCCGACATGGTTTGATGCCTTCACGGACCTTGCGGCATTGAACAAGGACCTAGTCGACTGGCTTATCTTCTGCGAAGAGGTGGGTAAATGTTTTATTGCGGCGTCACTCTACGCGTTTGTTTGCGCTGCTCTGGCGTTTGTCTGACCCACAAGGGTTTTACTGTTGGCGTCGTGTAAAGCTCTGTATACATGGCGCACTGCTCGGGGATTCTCAGTGTACGCAGTACGCAGCACCCCGGAAGGATTACAAAGGATTCTTGCAGAATCTCTCCCGGAGGGTGGCAGGGTAGGTGCTCTATGGTTGGTCCATGCTTGTAGCACACACACGGGGTATCTCGTGATCTCGTTCTCGCACCGACCCATGTGCATCCCGTACCGCAAGCGCGATAGCAGATTGCTGACTTGCGTTGCTCGCTGAGCGCAACATGGAGCGTTTCCCCGAAATCCCGATAAAGCCCTTAAGTCTAGTACCGCGAGGAAGAAGTTAGGAGGTACCAGTGGTATCCTGCTGTTGCCTATCCTGCTGTTGCCTAACGCGTGTTCCTAAGCATGTGGGAGGACCGAACACGGCGGGGCCTCACATCCGTAAGGAAAACTTCACAGCAGCAGTGCATCCATCTTTTGCACCTTGGGGAACATTCATCTCCTCATCTCCTCCCCAAGCACATTGTCCTCTCATCGTACTAGGTGATTTTGCACCAACATCCCCCACCACCCACCGAAGTCGCCGAAATTTCGTGCTTAACATTTTTGGTAATGCTGTATTTTTCTGAAGGATGCAACTTCTTCGAGAGTGCTACTGCTGTAGTCTAGATAGGGAAGAATGGGCCGTGGGGTCGGCTTAATGCCTGCTGTATCCTGTATCTGCGATCTGCGATGCTGTGTGTGATAAGTGACTTCCTGCGCACTTCATACATCCGCAAGGTTCCGCTGCGGGAGTTAGGTGATTTGCCTCCAGGGGGCGATGCAAGAGGACATGGCCAATCAATGCCATCGCTGTCGCATGGATGGTTGATCGTCATGACGTTCGGTAGTGCCGGCTTGCGTGCATCATACAACCTGAATACTTATTTGCCTGGAATTTGCATCCATGTGCGGGGGATTTGGTTTTTTCCCGCCGTGACTCTTCGCTTGTGCGCGTGTGTGGTTCTAGCTTGCGGCGTCTTTGCTGCAGGTCCTCAATTAAGAACGCTTGTTTCAGGTCCAGCCTCGAATTTCTCTTGTGGGATATAAACTCAGCGTATGTCGTTCAATTTCTTCTGTCAAGTTTCTTATTTTTTAGTGCCGCCAAATCCTGCTGAAATTCTAAAATCGGCAATTTAATTATTTTTCTCTTTGCTTGTACAATTACTCACACGTTCAATTTACACAAATCATTCACCCTCACGAGAGCTAGCGGAGAGCACCATCAACACCGTACAGCAGACATCATATCGCATATCGTTGTTCGCAGCCTGTTTGGTGTGCTGTGCCAGAGCCGGAGCCCCAGAGAGCGCCAGAGCCGGCAGGGGGCCGGAGGGGGCGCCGCAAGAAAAACATACTTCCCCCTCCTCATACAACCAATAATGCACTATGGGGAGGGGGGGGGGTAGTGGGAGAGGGGGGGAAAAGCGAGAGAGATAGGAGGATCTGTGGGATGTTTCTTATTCGACACACTCCCCCGTAACCCCTCGTCTCTTATGTTTCATAACCCTATGTTCTTGTTTTTGGTGGAAAAGTGAGCCTGAAATTCTTTTAAGATATTTCTTAATTGCGGGCGCTAACTGTACTGCTGTTACCCGCTGATTTTAATCACTTTCTCTACTTGTGTGATCGTGTTTCCCATGGTCTGTGGGACTTCTTCGCGCAAACACCAACAACGGACCAAAGAGACGCCCAACGTGCCCAAGAACAGCAGTCACAGCTGTAGAGTGCCACAGTACGTACGTACCACAACCTGCATTTGAATTTTTCTATTTTTCGGAATTGAGATTGGCATTACCGCTGCCAGAGTTGTGCGAGAGGACTTCTGTGTCGCGTGGTGTGTTCCCATGAGCATCATCACGAGTCTTGGTCTCCGCTGTGGGTACGCATGCGCCAGTTGCTGTGTGGTGGTTTTGTACACAACAGCAGCTGTGTGGGCGCGTGGGCGCGTGGCGCGGGGCAACAAAGAAGCTCTGTTTCATTTTCATGCCGTTCGGGGAGGCTTCTTTGGTTCGGATTCCCAACCCCTGAAAAAAGAGCCAGTCCCAGCAACTCTAGGCGGCCCGATCGCGCACCACCAGTGTCTCGCGAGCCCCACGCGTAAGGGGTAATATACCGATGAGTAGTCTGCGTGCCATGCAGAGAAAGTACAAGAAGAGATGCTGTCCCAGCGGAGAAGAAGGAAGGCGACGACGAAACAAGTCGGAATCCTACATATGCATATCCGTACTGTATTGAGCGGATCTTCAAGACGGTGCATCTGCTCCCCGCTGGTGTCACCGAACGGTGCAGGAGCACACACACGCTGTGACACGCCGATGCTACAGCAATAGTACCGCCAAACGATCAGCACCCATCAGCACTGTCGCCGGCAAAAAAAAACGAACTTATAAATAGATGGAGCCCATCGGGCAGCGCGTGTGAGAAGCAGGTCGAAAGTGGCAGGAGCACAGCAGTTCCAAGAGACGGAGCCAGCTCGTACTCTCGCAAGCACCGTTTGTCAACATCTCAGTCTCTCTCTGTTTCGCTTGCTGGAGGCGGCGTCGTTTGCTTGCTTCCGTTATACCCCGCCTATCTTAGTCGGCGAAAGACGCCATCCCTATCGTTCTGAGTCCCACATGGCGATTGCGTCAACAGCACCAACCGCCTCAACTTCGCTCTCCGCTGCTGTTGTTGCTGCTGTGGGCAAGATCTCAATCAATCTACATACTGTTTTCACTCATCGATGTTTCCAACGGCAATAGAACCGCCAAGACTCTCCCTGTTGTTTAGCTAGAGAGCGGGCACCACGTCTGCTGGTGCTGCTGTGCTTTCACCTATGGAAGGGATTGGGCCACGGCGGGTGGGTGTGATTCTGTGGATGTGCTAGACGTAAAGCGGTCGGTATTCTACCTCTGTTTCTCCTGGTGGTTTGAATCGCGCGCGCTTGACATTTCCGCTTTTGTAATCCGACCTTTCTTTCTGAACACCCGGGGACAGGGTAGGCAATGTCCTTTGAATTTTGGGTACAAACATCTGCCAAGCACGGTCATCTCTCGCCGGAGCACGACTACAGCGGTGTGACGAAGAGTGCGCTATTGTTGTACCTCCTTTGAAGCGAGCAGATCATTAATCGGTGCCATGTAGATCTCGTTCTGGTCCCGAAGTTGAGATACTAAGGCTTCGCGGAAATAAAACTTTGGGGACCCTGTACCACGCGGCGGAACAACAGGCCGATAGTTGGAGCCTGTTTTTCCCCTTCCCTTCAGGAACGGAGGGATAAGAACGGTCGCGCTTCGCGCTCCGCGGCTCATTAAAAATCCTGAATCAAAATGATCAATACATGCCTGCTTGCGGAGAGAGCACCCTTGATGATGATAATAATGCCGTTCGTTTTCTCCCAGATTGCTCTACTTTGCAGCGTGCGCACGCGATGGATACAGTAGCCCAACAACTGGTTGTGTTGAGGCCTTGGACATGGAGAACAAACCCCCTCGGTAGAACGTTTCACCCAGCCATCGGGTGGCGCTATTGCACCCACGAGCACACTGTCGTCACCACACCTTTGGGGCAAAAAGCAGACACGTATGTAATTCGTCGTGTTTCATGTTTTTCGTGGACCCTCGGCATTGGTTTGTTCCTACGGGAAGCAGGATTTGGCCCAGGTGAAGACACCTCCAAATGTCCGCATGATGAGTACCTCTCCTGCAGAGCTTGCCTGGATGCTGGCTGGGGTGGTGTACCCGGCCGATGCGGACGAACGTCCCGATGTATATGTTTCGGATTTCCACATGGCTTTGATGGGGGACCTCACGGATCTTCAAATGCATGCGAGGAATGTCCGCGGGACGGCTGCAAGGTTCATCCAGAAACTTCTTGCAAAGGTGTGGCCAGTGGAGCGTGTTGATGTTCTGAAATTAGAGGAGTAGAATAGCAGCGCTACCTTTACCCGGATGTTCGACGTTTTGGGGAAGCAACATCAACAAATCGCCGTGCGCAGTTAAGCTGCGAAACGTGACACGGCAGTACTTTGTGCATTCAACACGCTCACGGCACCCACGTCGCTCACCGCTTATTTGGTTGTGCCTGTTCTTTCGACCATCTGGACGAAGAATCCTTACTACATGGTGGAGTTCAAGCCGGCCCTGGGTTGGGTTTTCCGGGAGTATATAAAGGATTATACGCACTGGGCGTACGGCGATCTTGATGTGTTTTTCGGTGACCTAACAAAAGGCTGGTTGGAGCCCAGTGAGATGCGAGACTACGACATCATCACGTACAGGTCAGTGGGGATCATTTTGTATTTCCTACGCAGCGTCGTTGGTGTGTATGGGTCGTAGCTCCTCATATACCGTGCCATTCGACATCTTCGAATTGCCAATGTCCTGGGAAAATTGAGTCTTCGTCGGCAGCTGCTTATCGGACCGCATCTGGACGCACACTCGATTGTCGCAGCTTCGGAGACCAGCAGCGCGCATACTTGAGAGGCCAGCTGACGGTGCACAAGAGCATCCACAAGGTCAACCACATTTGGCGGGATTGTCCCCATTTGTCCAACTACTACAGGCGGATTGAGGTGAGGCTATCGCGCTTGGGATCGTCTTGATCCTCATTGCGTACAGGGTAAACTGCCGTGGGTGGCAGACTAATGGGCGCGTGTGGCAGAACGCGGCCAGTACTCCTCTGCGATTGATAGTGTGCCTGTTTTTCTTTTTTTTGCGTCCTTGTGGCAGCTTGGTTTTATCACCCGTGGTGTGTTGGCAAGGAGAGTAGAAGCCTATTGCACGTGAGCCATTTCGCTTGTGTGATGATGTGACTTTTTTTTTTTTTTCTCCCGTCATTGGATTCTGTCGTCTGCCCCTCTGGCCCCTATCCTCCACTTCTACTAGCTAGACGACCCAACTGGGGTCACATAGCAGGGGGGGGCTGGACCCCCTCCTGCGGTTCCTGCCTGAGGTATTTTTATCGCGAGAAGGGTACAGCAATGCCTTCCCTCGCGACTTACGAAGTCGATTATGGTTTACTAACAATGAGCTTTGCAACGCGTCGCTTTCATCCTAGACCAGGATTTATTTCGTGAGAAAAAAACTCACTCTGCCGGGACTCGAACCCATGACCTGGCCCTTAGCAGGCTGCGAGGCCTCCCACTAGACTGTGGTCTTGTAGTTCATTAGTTTTGGCGTTGATTGCGAACAACCCGTCTGTTTGTCATGCTCGGCGATGGTTCACTACGCCACGTTTCAGAGGACAATGGAGACGAAGCAGTACAACCTCGAGAGCGCGGAAGGCTGCTACAGCATGGCCCTCATGTACTCCAAAGACGTCAAGGCCAAATATGCCGTCAAGGTAAGCATTGCGTGCCATTTCATGAGCGGATTGCTGCTCAAACAAGTTAACAGACACCTTTTCAAAAACCGGGCAAACTTGCGGTGGTCTATCTCGCATAGGGCGTGGATCTTGTATTCCAGTGTGCCCGGCCTGGTGTGCATGCGTTCACGTATTGGATCTGTCCGATGAATGCCAACTTTGGTTGACGTGACCCGTTCGTGTGGCGAGATGCAGGTTTTCACCGACATGCCAGGCGGTAAGCAAGACGACCAAGAGGAGGTTGTCATCACAGGGGATGGGCTTGTGAAGCGCTGCCCGCAACAGCAGGGGAGGAGAGGCGACGTGGTTGAGCCAGATTTCGGTGGAAAGATGCAGGTACGCATCACCAACATGAGGTTTAGAGTAAATGTGTTTCCACACATGAACCAATGCAACGTGTTCCTTGCGTATTTGTGTGTCCAAAGTAGAACACTCGCCTCGTCTTTTGTTAGGGATTACCGAACCACCGTAGCTGCTCTAAAAGACAAATGACACAATGTGTCGCATGCGCGTATTTGTAATTGTGGCGGCCCCTGCATGGCACAAACCACTCAGGTATGTTCATTAGCATCTAATGAACCCCCTGAGAAAACGCGGACTGACCGTTTTGAGTCATGCTTGTTATTCCCCCGTATGAAATCATTCCGTGATGTGGTTTGGGCAGGTGGATAGGGGCGAGTACTTTCCGGTGGAGAAGGAGGAGCAGGGCTACTTTTGCGAGTACTGGATAAGCCCCAACTTCCAGACGTGCCTGAAGCTGAAGGAGTCTCTGACCAAGACGAACGTCTTCCTGTTGGAGGGGCGGTACTACGAGCGAGGTGGGGGAGTCTTTCATATCTAGGGTCCGCTCAAGTTCGCAGGCACCGTTAGAGCGTCATCGGAGAACTGCCATTTTTGCCGCAGTCCACGGCGATGTGCCTGTGTCAGTGGCGTGTGTTTTGGTGTCTACCGCTATGTGTGTGACAGAGGCAGGCTACTGGCATATCACTCGTGCAGCATACCCAGTAGACCGGGGGGTGGGGTTTCGAGTGCTGCGAAGCTAGAGTGTCATGTCTTGTAGCTCTACCAAGCTTTTTAAGTCGCCCAAAATCCATGTGCCGGCCTGGCTGTTTGGAACCTCTTATCAATGACCGGCAACCTCCAATCTCCAATCTCCAATCTCGCCGTTCTTGCTCCTTGACCACGGAAAGAACTGCTTCATCCACTCATATGCAAGCGGGTGCTGTGCTGTGTTGAGAGGCAATGGAAAGGGAATACCAACCACAACCGCGTATGTGTGCAAGAAGTGAACGTGTTGTTGTCAGCGCCGCTTGTGCCACTGCCGTCGTATTATTTCCCGGGCAGAGTTCGTCAATTTGTGGCAGGACAAGGTGGAGGACGGCTGCAGCATGGGTGCTTTCCACCACTTTCAGGTGACGCACTTTGTGTGCTTGACATGACTCGATGTGTGTCTTCACCTTCACACGCTGCCGTGCGCAAGCATTTTGCTACAACAGATGGTCGCTGTCATGGGGTAATTGGCGGCCTACTTGGCGACAAGGATGGTTGGCGTTTTGAGAGAGTGCGATGCCAGTTGCGGCGTTGGTCGACCTCTTCTTTTGCAGAAGAGCTACAGTAGTTTTCACTCTGTGTCCACATGTCTTCTGCTGCTTGTCACCCAGGAGCTCAAGGGAAACTACAGGGCATGGAACACCAGACCACAGATGTCGCCTGTACATAGAGGGATGGTGGCGGGGAACGGTGGGCTGGTTCCGCTGCCGAACGGAGATTGGCATGCCATGACTTTGGACCCCAACGCTCCTCCTCCGGCGGTGCGTGCATTGCGAAACGCTGTTTATCTTTCCGTGGACAGAGGAGGCTTGTAGCTATGTATATGGGTGCCGTTATCATAACGGCTCAATAACAACGTTGAAATGTTGCTGGTGCCGTGGTGCGGATGGGTGCTGTAGGAGATTCGTACCATTTCGGAAAATGGGACAGTGCGTGGCTCGACTGACTGCATCATGTGCCCTTTGGAAGCACAGGCTTCTGGTCGTAGGTCGTTCTTGGCCTGTGGGCTTATTATTTGAAGCCTCTAAGCCTCTCTTGTTAAGCCTTCCAAAGCCTTCACATGATTTTGCGCTTTCCCGTCTCATGTCCTCGTGTCGTGTCTATGTTACGGCCCTGCTTCCATCGCTGTGGCGTTAACCATGGATGCGTGCCAAACTGCAGGACCGAGACCGGTTTACATACCGGTACTGCTTACAGTGGAGCGTTGAGAATGAGAGAACGAAGGAGGCGAAGTTTAATTGCGACATCAGCCTGACCCCTAAAGACGGGTTGTTAACTCTGCACGACTCTAGGCGGCAAGAGGGGTTGATCGGTGGGGCTGCGGTTACCCTGGGGGGGGTGGGGGGGGTCAGTGATGTTCCACGGCTTCTACGAAGCTGTCGCGATTGGGAAGGTCCAAAGGTGGGGCATGCAATACGATTTGAGGGGGGAATAGGGTCTTGGTCGGGTGAAATCACGAAACGAAATTATTCAAAGAAGACGAAATGATGCAAATTTGAAGACACAGATGAAGAGGATTGGGGATAAGGTGTTACTTGGTGTTTAGAAGACGGCACCACTTGCATGGCCGCGTCGCGACTCTTGTTTTTTGCACGGGGTTTTCAGTCGCCAAGCGAAGTCAGAATTCAAGGAGTGGTCCAAAGTTTCAGCAGGCAACAAACGTACGGTAGTACTGTAGGTAGTACTCTGCTTGTGCGGTCGTGATTTGATGACTTTGCCCCCTACTTCCTACAGTGCGATTGCTGAGCCCCCCTACTTTTCCCCTCTCTCTCCTGTCGCCCTTCACTTTTGCCACCTCCCAGATTATTGTGTTGATGTTGAACAACCGACAGCGGGAAAGGGTCGTTGTTCTAGATTTGATTCGCGCGGAGGAAAAGGTTGGGGGACTGGACAACGCTTACATTGTGTTTTTCTTCTCGCCGAGCTCTGGTGGCCATGAAGTGAATGGTGGTCACCTCCCGACAAAGGCACTCCTGAACGCCGTGGGCGACTTGTGCCAAACAAGGTTAGGCTACGTACCGAACGGCAAGGACTACTCTTCGTAGTTCGTAAAGTTGCCCCGAATACTGTGTTGTCAGCCCTTCGAGTTACCATGTAGAGACCGTGTAGGCGTATGGTTCGTCATTGGTGATGGTCGCTCGCATCCCGTGCTGTCCGCTAAGAGTGCCGACCACCGCAGGCCCCCCCCCCCGCCGCAGGAACACCCTCAAGTTGCTGCCGTCGCGCCGAATTGCGGTTGGCGCATGTGTATAAGAGAGCAGAGAGTGTGAGGACCAATTGAGGCACAGCGGACAGTTGCCTCCGTATTCAGCGCTATCTGCAGTTTCTCTCTTTCTCTCCTCAATGTAAGGCATACTGGAGCGCATCACACGTGCTGTCTTTTTCTTGTTTCCCGGCCAGGCATCTTCTGATACTTCCGTCTGACTTCCGCATAGCAAGAGGCGCCGAGCAAGCAGTGGTTACGGCCCTCAAGACCCCGACAGAAGCACCGAGAGTGTTGATAATCCCGCAGTGGTGTGTAGACCGCGATCATGAGCGTGGCTCCGGAGAGCTCCCAACCCTGGAGCTTGAAGACCTACGAAGGCAAGCTGCAGATGGCACCGCCGACCTGTGTTTCTCGGATACACGCGCGAATCGGGATCTATACCTCGGAGGTTCGGTGCTCGAAGGGGCAGTTTACGGCGAGGGAGCCGGGGAGGGGTTGGGGGATGCCGGTGCGAGACATCGCGGCATGGGTGGCACGAGGACGACGAAGAACGGACTGGCGCTGCTACTATCGGACGCCGTGAGCCCCGTGATAGTCGTGGACATGTGGTCAGCTCCTGCACTGTTTTTACGTCACATTGAGGTAAGGCGTGCTCTTGAACATTGCGAATGGCTGGCGTTTGCTTCGCCTTCCATATTCCATCGCAGCTGCTGATCGGAAGCTTGTGGTATCATCATGAACAGCAGTGCGCCGCACGTTCAAGGTTATGCAAACGTCGTCCACCCGATTCAGCCGACCATCACAAGTTTCACCGCCTACCCGCGGCCACGATCGCGGTTTTGTGGAACCTGGCCCGCCCTGCAGACAGAGCTTGACATGGGCGTTTTTATATGCATACTCGAGTTGAAAGTCCACCGCCAGCTTTGAACGCACAAGACACACCCCATCCCGCCCGCGCACTATATTGTTGTCTTCAGGAGTTGAGTGGATCAAGATGTTTCGACGGCGCCTATGCGAGGGGACTGTGGGCGGCTGGATTTTCGTTCGAAGTTCTCCCGGAGGCCGCTGCCTTTAGCGCCAGTCTGCCGCCAAGAACTGACCAATGCCGGCACGGAGTGATGGTGCAGATGGGTGCCTATAGCACGTTTCTTCAGGTACTATACAGTCTTACTTGGTCTTGTGTCAAAGGTGCGGTGTCGGTGTCGGTGTCGGTGTCGGTGTCGGTGTCGGTGTCGGTGTCGGTGTCGGTGTCGGTGTCGGTGTCGGGAATAAGAGCGAGAATCCAGCAGAAGCCAGTGGATCTATCCCACGAGCTATATTGCTACTCGTGGTAGAGCTACATTGTACATTGTACATTGTTCATTGTACATTGTGCAGAAGCTTCCGCCACCAGCACAGATATTAATAGTTGTTCATGAACATGGCTGTTTCAATGTTTGGCATTTCGCGGCCCGTGTTGATCTGCCCGCCTCCAACAAAATGGATCTGACGAACCACTCTACATGCATGTCTACATGTGCAACGCCAACGTGATTTGTGTGGTGGGACACATAGCCCCGCCTTCCCGAACCTCTGACCTGAGCCTGCAACCGATCAATTACATCTTCACGTGTGAGGGCTCAGCTGAGGGCCACAATTGACGAGTTCCCGTGCTCGTTTCTGCACGACGATGACATGGATGTTTGCCCCCGCAGGACGTCCGGCGGGTTTATTGGAGGGAGTCAGGCAGTTTTACCGATATCTTCAAAATCGGGATCCGATCTGAGGCCGAATATCGAGCTGAGGCGAAACCACGATCGCGTCGCAGAGCGAACTCGCATCCATTCCATCGCCAGATGCACGATGAAGAGTCAGGCCAACAGGAATCGCCCGAACTTCCATAAAGCGAGCTGGCCTTGCAGAAGGTGTAGTAGCCCGTTAAGGGCGGGGTTCGTTGCTACTATAGCTGTACTATAGTCGGGAAGAATCGAACTCCCGAATATGATACGTTCAACCCTTGAGCCCCAGGAGTACATCAATTGCGTTCCTAAGTAGGGTAGAGTTTTGAAGTTGCCCATGTAGAGACGGCGAACATGGGTTGCTCTCCCTGGTGTTGCTTTGTGATTTGGAATCAATCTCTGTCGCCATCTGGTGGCCTGTCGTTTTCATGGTGGACGCCAGCAATCGTTTGCGACATTGAGAATATAGAGAAGGTGATAACGATGGCCGGTTGTCCTCTTTGGAGAACAGCGCAATTTTGTTATCTTTGTCGGTCGCCCTCGTGCCTTTTTCGCGTGTCGTTTGTGCTGTGAGTGCGTTGTCGTTGGTATTGTTGTGCCGCTCCACCACAGGCTTGAGCGCGAGCTGCACGCGCTTCTAGAATGTCTGTTTGTGCGAAACGTGTGGTGTAGATAATGCAAAGTTGTGTGTCGCCCTGCTGAATCTGATCGTGCCTTGTGTGCGCATGAGGGCATCACTGCGTGCGGGAACGTCGCGTCTGTAGTTGTTACCGTTTCTACACACTCGCTTGTTATGGTCTGGCTGTGAGGTCTGGAAGGATTCTCGAAAGCTGGTAGATGTTTTTGTTCACACGCACTGTGTTTTGCAGTATTTGGGGTGTTTTTCCACTTCGAAGTAAATTATTAAGGATCCCTGTTGTAGACTTTTATTAGGTTGTGTGTAGTGGGTTTTTCACAGCGTGTTGAGAACATTGGTGTGTACTTTATGCGCGTAATCGTTGAAAACATGTGTTCATTATTCACCATTAGGAGTGCGGTTGCAAGATGGCATGTTGTTCCAAACCGCTCGGCCCCACATGCGGCATTTGCTGCGTGTCCCAAAGCTAGAGACGGCACGTACCAGTGCCTGGCGGAGTAGCATCGGGGGCTCTTGCATGAACGCCATGATGTGGTTCTCTGATTCGAGTCAGTATATGTTCCACCTCGATATCCTTTGGTCGCACGCACGGAGCCAACTCGAGCCTCGAATACTGAGCAGTCGAACAAGCGGAGCAGCAAGCTGCCTGATCGGGATTTTGCTTGAGCAATGTTTGAGCTGAAAAGCAATGGAAGAATCGCCCCCGAAGTTATTCGTTCTTGGGCAGCACCTCGCCGGCCCCCTTCGATCCGGCATTCAACCGCACGCAACGGCAACCTACGCTGCTGTAGGCCCGCTCTTATGTACAAAAATGGTCTCCGCACAGGAGAGGCCGAGATCTTGTGCATGCAGCGGCGCGCTAGGGCGGCCACGTCTCGGTGAGCTGCGATGAGACTTTGAAAGCGGCCAAGGCCGTGCTGCAGGAGAAGACGAGTTGGACAGGGGGAGGAAAAGAAAACGGAACATGGGGCGCATCATGAGTTTTCGGCGGCATGGTATTAATTAGCCGATCCTCGCAGAGCTATGGAAAGACTAAACATTAAACTCAAACGACACCCTGCTGCAGAGGCTTTGTAGGGATGCGAGGTCAATGGCCTTAACGACTACGGCATGCACGACTATGAGTACCCCCCCGCCCCCCCCCCCTGCTGCAGGCAAAACCGCAGTCTGCCAATAATCAGTGTGTAAATAATGGCAATCGCAACTACGATTAGCTCTATCTGGAAAGGAACAGAAGTTGTTCTTCCTTCTGAGAAATGTATGGCCAATGCTTCGGAACACGACAAAGGCGCGCGGAGTCGACCATTAGTGTGCAGTGTGTACACCTTTCCAGTTCCCCCAAGCGCGGGACACACAATGCATACGTAAGTGTACATGTAAAAATGTTTTCCCTGAAGGCGGATCGGAACCACTTGGGTCTCCACCACGCTCTACCCACCGCCCCTCCTCGTGCTTTGTTGCGCCCCTGGATCGTTCGTCGCTGCAGCGGGGTCGTCGCTGCCGACGGGAGCGAGCCTCGGGCGTGTTTCTCGCGGTGCTCGCGGGACTTGCACCCAACCGCGTTCACCGCCGTTGGAGCGTTGAGGGGCTGACTCTCCACCACTTCCAGTCCTAGAGTGTTGAGTGTTCTGCGAGCGCAAGTAACGTGTCGCAGAGCACAGCGGGATTAGTTGTGGGACGTTCCGTACAAACCTGCGTGAGTGTGCACTGAGACCCGAGACGAAGGATCATAATTTACGAATTGGAGGGAAACCACGGTGCAAGTAAACTTTCTTTTTAGGAAATCTCCCTTGTCGTTGGTTGGAATTGCACCTTAATTTTATATTTTAACCAGTCTCCCTTCCAATTCCAGGTCTTTCTGGTCAAAGAGGTCAGGCTCGCGCCAATTCGCCAACTAAACTCGGGGCACCCTCACCATGTCGTGGCCACCTGCGTTTCTGGAGAAGGCGTCAAAGTCACCTACAAGTGTATTTACGTTATCTGTTGTGGTACCTTTTTTTTCTGACCCTCCCCGTTCTGGAACTTTCGAAGTCTCTTTGCCCTTTTGGCGAATGCCCGTGCTGCTCTCGGATCCGTAAGCCCCCAATCACGCGCTAGGTCACTTTTAGCCCTCCTTTCGGGGCCGCCGCCACCTTCACTTGCTTTGTCCCTTGCACTTGCACCGCCCTCATCACTAGTCCTCCCCGCAGTTTCTCTATAATCGCTTCGCCCTGTCTCCACGGCTTGCGCAGTTTCAGAGAGAAAAGTGCTCTTGGTTGCGTTGCCAGTACCGCCAGTGCAGTACGAATCCAACCGCGTTCTGCTCGTTGCTTCCACCCCATCACCTCCTCTCGGATGTGGGCATGCAGGTGCGTTGCTGACGACAGCTCGGGCAGTGTCGACTAAACGGATGCTGGTGGCCTTCGCACGACTGGGAGGGGTTGGATGTCGAGGGATGTTCTTGTTTCCTTGGGCCACCACGTTTGTCCCCAACCAGCCGTCTCCCAGCTCCGGTGGAGGGGACAGGAATCGGTCAAGCTCGAAACGATCCCCTCCGTTGATGTTCAGAAGGCCCTCCAGTTCGTCGTCAACATACTTCGCGGAGTCTAACGCTGCCTGTCGAGAAGAAGGTTGCAGGGGGCGCGTTCAGTATTGTCGTGTGCTTCACTGCTTCACCACAATTAATTGTGAAGCACTACGTAGACCCAACATACCATGTGCAGATCTTCGTACAGTACCTCACATCACTAGACTATATAGATAAGTGCCAAAAATAACTCATCACTTGGGGCTATGAACTTGTTTGACGGATAAAACAATACAATCTCGTGCATGCTGAAGGACGCGTGGGTTGCACAACTCCCAACCTTTCCAGGGCTGACTTTTTTCTAGATTAGCGAGTTCACCTACATGCAGTATTTGCAGAGGCACACGGAGGACGTGACTACAGTCTTGCGCATCATCACGGGGGTGTACGTGGCGTGTGCTTCTCTCGGTGCTTGAAGTCAAATGCTCAACCATCACCCCGCGGCACGGGTCGAAACGAAGAAAGCATCATCCACCAATCTGTCACCTGTAGAGCCCGCCGAACATGGAACCCGCGAAACGCCGACTGTAGCTTTGTGACCGCCTGTTCGTTCGCTGGCCACGTCGTGCCGACGTCTTGGCGAACGCTCGGCGACGAAGATACGAGCTGCGCAGTCCGTTCCTGACGTCGGTGCCAGAGCCGTTGGATCGTACGGGCCGCCCGAGTATGACGACGTGAAGAACTTGCCTGGCAGGGACTAATTCGGAAGGCATCTGTGCCCAAGTATGAGTGATTGCACTGGTCCTCTCCGGGTTGTATAGACGCACAATCCAGCACCACGCACGCTCTGTCGGAGGCACCAACGCCACCGTGGTCCACACGGCCGCTGTGGCTACACAGCTGTGTAGCGGCTTGACGTCTTCGCTCCTCTGCGTGGTGCTCCCCTAGCTCTAGTTCTACCTCCAGTCTCCGTTTCGACGACGCCCTAGGTGCTAACCGTGACGTAATATCCCCGCCTCCCTTCACTGTTCGTGGTCCCACCTCGTTAAAGTCTGCGCCTGTCGCAACGTTTCTTTCTTCGCGTCGATGGCGGCGTCTCATCTTTTCTCGCTCGACTCGGCCCCGAAGGCAGGCTTTGCGGAAGGAGTTGCTCTCACTCATCTCTTCTTGGCCGATTCCTATCTTGTCACGAACGCCAGCACAAAAGCCATCACGCCACCGGCCTCCTGCGGAGCAGACACCTTGCCAGCTCACAAAGGAGCGAGCGGCGCGCGACTCGGACACGGACCAGAGGTCCGCACTGGGAAGCTCGAAGCCACAAGAAACACATATACTTGGCCCTGAAGATCTTCCACCTTCAATACAATCTGGTATGTGCTGGGGCAGGTTTGTAGTGCCGGAAGCGGGGTCCAATCCCGACGCTTCGTCTCTTTTCCCGTCTCTTCCTCTGGCGATGACCCTGGCAACGTTCACGGCGTCGCTCTCTTCCACCGTGTTGTTCGCGTGCTTGGCGCGTAGCGTGCATACCCCGCACCAGGGACAACAGTCACCAACACTAGCCTCCTTCAATGCCTTGGATTCATTGACATCGTTCCCAGTTGTTTCGCTGCGGGCAGTGGTTGGGGTAGCGGCCGCCGCGCCGTGCGGGGCCTCGCTCGTTTCGCCTGTCTCGAGGAGGAACGGGAGGACTAGATCCGCTCGTCTACCGTATGTGTTCGCTCCCGCTCGCCAGTGCACCTGAGCGTCTAGATGGACGCCGTCCATCCGCATGAGCTGAAACAAGGATTGAAAGGCGACGTAGGACACGAACAGAGCGTCACAATGGCATCGGACTAGTATTGGATAGTTGACATTATATCACGCAGCCCCAAAACCTTGATAGAGGTGCCCTCGCCAATCCCACACATACACACCTCTATGACACGTACAAAGCGGTGTGTCAATTCCCGTGCTAGTACTCACGTGAGGGCAGCTAAGGGCGATCGCATCTGCGTAGTTTGGGCATGCCGATGCCGGATTGTCGTGTAATCGGACTTCCTCTAGCCCGCTGCACGCTTCAAGTGACAGGGCAATTTCATCGGGAGCCCTCAGCTGATTGAAGCTTGCGTCAAAAGATCGCAGCAGCGGGCAACCGGCGAGAGAAAACCGCCCGCCAAGGGTTTCCAGCGCGTTGTCCTGCATGTGTAGCACTTCCAGGCTTGGCAGCCACACGGTAGCATCATCGCATGTCCGCCCATGCTCCCCTCGTAACGATGTTTCTTGTTTTCCGTACTCGCTCTCCCGCCCCTGTCCCTCCGATACCCTCCCCAAGAAAGGGGTATGTTTCAAGTGTTGATCTCCTGGTGAAGCACGTAGCTGCTCTGCTGAGTCTCCCGACAACTCCAGCAACGCCCCCTCCAAAATGGCACGATGTTTGGCCCAACGCTCAGGCAACGAGCGCAGACGGGTCTCTTTCGGAGAAGAAGCCCAAGAGCCCATGCTGCGTATCTGATTGCCACTCAGCCAGAGCTCGTTCAAGAGAGGCAAGCAAAGCGGAGAGGGTGGCTCCCGCAGAAGGTTTTGGCTCAGGATAAGTGTCGAGAGAGCAGGGCAACACTCAAGCGCCTGGCCATCCAACGTCTGGAGCTGATTTCGGCCGAGGTCCAAGTGAGTCAGGGAAGCCAGCCCCTGCAAAGCCCGCGGATGGATCGATGCGAGGCGGTTGTGATACAGTTCCAACTTCTGTAACCCACCGCAGGCGACAGCCCTCTCTACTACAGTGGGGCACGTTTCTGTCTGGGCTGGGATAGGATCCGTCGGTGACATGAGACCGACCGCGAACCCTTCCGGCAGCTCTCGGATGTGGTTGGTATTGACTGACAGCTCGACCAATGCCGGTAGGAGTTGTAGATCGTGGAGGGAGGAGAGGTGGTTGATATCCAGTCGAAGCTCTCGCAGGCTAGGGAGGCCAGACAGTCCCTGCAGTGACGACAACCGGTTGTCCCTGTGTCGTGTGACGGGCAACGACAATCCAGAGACATGGAACGGGACGGGTTCACCGTAGGAGGTGCGCAGGTGGGAAGGATTACTCTCCGCTTGTCTTATTCATTTCGAGACCGAACACAAAATTTTAATTCCCAGCAAGAAACTAGCGACATTCGGACTCCCTCAAGAATATGCTCCGTATCGTTCCCTTTCCCTCGTTGACAACTTGAGAACATCACCGCATGAAGAACGATGTTGAATGAGACCATCATGAGCTGACGATAATTTTCGTCACTCACCTGAGACCTAGCCTAACGAGGGATGTGCTCACTACCAGACCAGAGGGAGAAGACAGCCGGTTCACATTGAGCGAGAGCGACTTGAGTGACGTGCACGCTTGGAGCAAGGATGCCGACGTCAGTCCCTCCACGCAAAGCTCAAGCGCGGTAAGGTCTTCCAGGGGGCCCAGGTGCGAAAGCATGTCCGATGTGAGCTTGCATTCCGCCCCATCTCGCTCTGCTGGCCCAGCCCTATCCTTCTTAGACGCGACGAGGTTTTCTTCGAACGACACCTCCCCCTGAGAACCGCCACGGGCGCCACTCTTGTTGCCGTGGCCTAAAAGTGTCCTACCCAGACCCTTAGTATGCACTGCAGCTTGACGGTTCTTCCGAACCCGTAGAGCATTGGCCGAAATTCGGTACAAATGCATTTTGCAGTATTCCCTGCGTCGGGCTTGCTCAATCATCAACATCATTCTTTCGTCCAGTAGCTCCGACGGTTCTGGCTTGGACAGTGCTCTGACTCCATCCGTGCACACCAATGCCCGTGCCGCAGCCGCCCCTCTGGGATCCACTGCTCGCTGAATAGGTGTCGATCTCGCCCACGCCTCACGGAGACAAGTTTCTCTCTGGCGACGAAATTCGGCGTTCCACGTCGCGGAAGCACTATCCTCGGCCGCCATGCGGCAGCCTTCAGCCCGTGACGAGGCCAGCTCTTGCCTATTGGGTGGTTTGAGAAACGCGAATACGGGTAGAGTTTCATGAAATATGCTTATCGCACTTGACCAATGAATCTCATGAAGGTACGAGTGGCTACGTTTTCCCCGCTAGTGCAGTCGGAAATGGATACAGGCAAACGCGCAGTGCCTGTACGCCAGATGAGTATGTGCAAGAGGGTTCACATGGTCAGTGCTCTCACGTGATGTGCTTTGTCAGTAGTGGTAATTTGACTGATTCGCACATCCCTTTCCCCCACTACTTCTGACCCCCATCCCCTCTTTCATCAAGACAATATCCCAGCTCACTCGTCAAAGTTCTTCAGGCCCCTCGCCAGGATGTCTTCGGCCTGCATTACTACCCGCTCCAACATCTGGGCTTTCTCCGCAAGTTTGAGCTCGCGCATCGCCAAGTCTTCTGCACACATCCTGCCGAGCTCTTCCTCCTCGCGCTGGACTATTTGAGCTCGCCGCAAGTCTTGGATCTCGACGTCCACCAACGCGCGAGTGAGTCGCTCCTCGGCTCGCATGCGCACCAGCTCTTCTCCCCTCGCTGTTTCCTCGAGGTGTCTAAAAAACGCCCATGATGTGCGCGTTCGTTTCTCCGCGTACCTTGTAGTTTTACGATCAACATGCTTGCGAGAATGAGGACGAGCGAATGCTGGAAGAACACTCTTCAAAAAAAGGAACGGGCAAGAAGAACTTGCAAATAGTTGGGGCACATGTACCTGTATGCATACCATCAGAGAAGCCCTTGGTTGTTGTAAGTGGTACATAGGGGGCTACATTTTTCAAAGGGGAATGAACACCGACATGTTTAACACTCAAAAATCTGTTCAATGCGGGGGGGACTACAGTAACAGGTGTTCTGTGGATTTGTCAAGCAGTCACGTTGCTCACCTCATTGCGTCTAGCTCATTGCATTGACGCTTGAGCTCTATCTCCCTACGTTCTTCTTCAAGTGCAACAACGCACTCCGCCAATCGCTCCTCCTGGAACATCCGCTGTATCTCTTCAGCTTCGCGTCGACGAGAGGCGAGGGCTGGAGCGACTAGTGCCCTCATACAATGTCCCCTCCAAATGGCCTGAAACACCACCGCACATCTTGCCCTCTTATCCCTGGACGAATTCGCGCCACGGGGTCAAAATACGTCAAGGATATGCTTGTATGCTTCACATCATGCTCCCCCAACTTCTGGGGGGGGTGAATAAGATAGCATAGTACGTGATCCAAACATATTAACCCTCAAGCCTACGCCGTAGAAGACCTGGTTTATTCATGATGCCGCGTTTCACTTACTCTCTGATGTTGTCGTCCCTTCGCTTCCGCTTTGCCTCCAAAGACCGCGCCATTTCTCGCTCTATCCTCCTTGCAACCGCGGCTTCTCCCACAAATGCTACCACATCCGTTTGAGAAACAGTATCGACGACCATCGACGTCCCGCCCTCGATGCCGGCACCTCCTTTCGTCGGCTGCACGGGCAAGGGCAAGGCTCCTTTCTGCTGCCGAGGAAATATGTTGCTTGTCTCGGCAGATGGATCTAAAGGTAGTTCTGGTTCGGACCCTTTTGTACCGACAAGGGCATGCAGGACATCTTTCGCGGACGGGTGTCCCGACAAGCTCTCCCGGATTACAGTAACAGTCGGCAAACTGGCAACTGGAACCAACGCAGGCAGCGTGCCCCGCTCGCTGCTCGTTGATAGAGGCATTTCACCAGAAGGAAGTTCAGGGCAAGCTTGCTTCGCCGAGCTCTTGGGCGGAGGGCCAACAGGCGGCTTACATAATTCATTTGGCAGTCTCTCTGCCAGGCCAGTGCGGGAGACAGGAAATCCTGCATGTGCGACATCACGGTCGTTGCCTAACTCAGAGGCACATTTCTCCGCCGGGAAAACATCGGCATGGGCATCGGTGTTTTGAGCCACTGCCGCTAGACAATGGGTAGAAACAGGAATGCATGGTGCTGAAGAATCCTCCCGCGTTTGGTCCTGAGGCACCAATCGCTTCACCAAGTTGGGCCCGTTGTGCTCAGGATTGGATCCATGCCCTGACGATTCAACCATGATCTTGAGGCTCTCGTTCATACCAAGAAGATTAGGATGTGTCGCCGGAAGAGAAGGCGTTGGTTCGGAGGGTGTACCACTATTTCCCGGGAGAAACACCCCAGATGACGTGGTAGCAAGGTCCGGCTTTCTGTCAGTATCTTCCACCGTATTGTCGAGTAGCTGTGATGTGTGCTCATGACGTGGGGAAGAAGGTCCCGAACCAGACACATCAAGTATTACAGCCGTCGCCTCTTCCAAGTACTGAAATACCCCATGCGCGGAGTTGATGAACTGTGACCATTCCATGTTTGCACAAGTGTCTTCGTGCTGGTTACTGTTATGACCGGTAGTATCCAGGTCTACCCATTCGTTGATGCGCAATCTCTGAGCTCCAAGACTTTTGCCGCCAACGTCCCCTGCCAGGTAGTCGTCGCTGCCGCAACTGCTACTGCTGTCACCGCTGCTTTGCATGCCGTCCATCTCCTCCGAGAAACACATTTCCTGCAGTCCGTAGTCGTATATACACAGCCAGTGGGAACGAAACAGTTGTTGTTGTTGTTGTTGTTTTTCTTCCATCATTGGACTCTGTCGTCTGCCCCTCTGGCCCCTATCCTCCACTTCTACTTGCTAGACGACCCAACCGGGGTCACATAGGAGGGGGGGGCTGGACCCCCTCCTGCGGTTCATGCCTGAGGTGTTTTTATCGCGAGAAGGGTACAGAAATCCCTTCCCTCGCGACTTACGAAGTCGATTATGGTTTACTAACAAACGAGCTTTGCAGCGCGTCGCTTCCAACGGAGACCAGGATTTAATAAGCGAGAAAAAAACTCACTCTGTCGGGACTCGAACCCATGACCTCGGCCTTAGCAAGCTATGAGGCTACCCACTAGACCACCGGGGCGACCGTGTGTGATTGTTTTTGTTGTTTTTGTTTTTCTCCCATCATTGGACTCTGTCGTCTGCCCCTCTGGCCCCTATCCTCCACTTCTACTAGCTAGACGACCCAACCGGGGTCACATAGGAGGGGGGGGTTGGACCCCCTCCTGCGGTTCATGCCTGAGGTATTTTTATCGCGAGAAGGGTACAACAATCCATTCCCTCGCGACTTACGAAGTCGATTATGGTTTACTAACAAACGAGCTTTGCAGCGCGTCGCTTTCATCCTAGACCAGGATTTATTTAGTGAGAAAAAACTCACTTTGCCGGGACTCGAACCCATGACCTGGCCCTTAGCAGGCTGCGAGGCTACCCACTAGACCACCGGGGCGACCGGTGGTCAGTGTGGGCACATGTCCATCCGGCGACGGTCCTCCTTTCGGGGGAACCTGTATAGCTGTCGACGCCAAGAACCCACCGGGTTCTACGAAGCGACCACAGACAACCCATGAATCACACCTAAGTCTACACGTGTGTAGAATAGACAGAGTATCTCCCAGCGTGCAACGCACCGACGTCCTACACATGTAGACTAATAGTTGTACAACATCAACTGCATGAAGCTACAGATTTTGTTGACACTTGTTCGGCACCCCGTTCATGTAGCGACCGCTCGTCTACCTACATGACGACCTCCGATCTGGGTCACGCCGAAGAAGAACCCCGTCCACTGTCTCTTGTACGGTTCAAAATTATTCACTGAATGTTTCTTTATTTCACTGGCTGTCGAGTGTGAGGTTCCCTGTCATTGTCCGTAAGGCAGCAGTCTTGCACACGCAGACCACCAGTAGACTAGACATGTAAACGTGCATATTTTAGTGGGGTTTTGACTCACAAGATCGAGGTCATCATCACCAACACCTTCGCTTCCCGAGGTGCTTAGCGCGTGACAGCCCACTGAGCCTCCTTGTTCAGGTGGCGTATGTGCTGCATCCTGCTGTGTGGTGCTCTCTGGGGTGAGACCTCCCAGAATCGAAGGACTTTGTACGGCTGGCGATTGGCTGTCATCGACGAAATCTGCACGTTGTGATGTGTCCGACATCGCTTTCGGTCCTACTAGAAGCCTATCCTCCCTCGTGAAGCACGTTGTAGTTGCAGCAATACTGAAATATTGCATCCCCATTGAACATTCGACATGTCCACCTACATCAGACGTGTCGCCTGCTGCAGTGTACACCTGGATCCTCTCGAAAGGTCGGTAACGCAGCAACGCAAAAAAAAAAAACGGTTTGAAAATGCGGCGCAATTTTCTTCGTATATTTTGCCTGTATGTGAAGGCTTACAGCACTGCTGTCGACCATACTCTGTATTTGCCGCGCTGCTGAGAGGAGAGGTTTTCAAGAGTTGTGCCACACCGGGTAGGCCGGAGACCCTGCCTATCCATGCTTCAGCGAAGCATGCCGCTTCAGCCCTCCTTTGGGATTGTGGGTGTGATGTCGGTGATTTCACTTCTCGCTGTGCCAACAGGTCTCGCTTACGAGACAAGACCCATGGTTGGGCTCGACCTCGTGCAGGACCGCAGTGTGGAGGTGATGGAGAGCATGAGGGCAGACATGGTGAGGAATCATGCGCAACAGCAGTGCGTGTAGTCGAACCTCTTGTCTGTGGACCATGTCAAAATGCGGTGTGATTTCTTCCTCCGCCCTCAAGGTTCGCTGTTCCTCTTGGTTTGTGTAGGGTTTCCGCACAAGAGGAGCATGTGAGTGAGCGGTTCATCCACCAACTCGTCAACACAAACTCCGCACTTAACAGATACCGAAAGGGAACAGACTCTGAGCGATAACAGCGGCGCAAGGTCGCAACGTTTGCCAGCCAATTGGGACGGAGCCCTGTGTCCTATCTGCGGTTTTTGAATATGGGCGCCGTTTTGTCTCTCAAGTGCTGAATTATTTCATGTTTTGTTGGCACCAGAGCATCAACTTCATGGAAGCAGCCCTTGCCCAGGCCACCCTGGCGTCGGGCGCCGGGGATGGCGATGACAAACGGTCGAGTGGTGAGGCATCCAGGGGCAAATCGGCTGTGTTTCCCTCGTACACCTTCACGGACGTCGATGGCGTCTTGCACACCTGCACGGTGAGAGTCTGTTCTGACGGCAGAGACGAGTTGCGCGTGTGAAAAGTTAGTGTTCAGGAGACCCCACAGCTGAAGAACCTCTTACTTTGCCCGGGGCTGAGGCTGGTATCTTATCCCCCTCTGTGGGGTAACCCAACAGCGAATGCATAGCTTTTTGCTCTGGAATTCTTAGCTGAGCACCCTCGTCTTACGGCTGACTTTTTTTAGCGTAATGCTCTTAGCCCCGAGGTCATACAAATGGCTGCGCGCTCGGCAGCAGCACCTTGATTGCAACAGGTGCAACAGTAGTCCGGCACGTTAGGTTTCCCAAAGCGGGGACGTTTTACCTGCTACATCTCTCATCTCCATATACGATGGCAAGGGTTCGAGCATGAGATGCGTTGCTCTAGACTACACCATAGCGCACTCCTTTTTCTGTTACGGGTATCTACGCTCATATTTTTCTGTACGCAAAGAGTTCCCCCAAGTCCCCCCTTACCGCCCCGTCTGCAAGCACTGCACCTGCGAATAACTGCTCCGTTGCGTTTCATCCGTCGTCCGCTGCGTTTGTCTTGTGGGTCTTTTCCCGCCCTCAATCACCGTGTCTTGCAGGTCCGCGAGAGAATGGAGCAAGCAGAATCGCCAGGAAAGAAGTCCGCCAATACAGACGTTTCCACCGCGCTCGACCCCCTAGAGGGTAGTTGCGCCACGTTATCGCACGGTTATTGGAGCTACAAATGGTGTCATAGGAAGGATGTCACCCAGGTAAATGTACCATGGGCGCGGTAGTCTATACGACTGGGGTATTGTAGTCGTGGCTGTGGAGGTACCCCCGATGCCAGTAGTGATGTGGCACCGCAGCAGGGGAAGGGCATGATGACCACAACAACCATATCGTGGGCTCGAAGTGTGATCAGCAAGTTTACCCCAAGCACTGGTAGATACGATCGGGTCGCGCTGGGGAAGGAAGGCACAATTGCTATTATGGTGTGCGAAGTTATGCCGCTCCAACAAGCCCGCGTAAACCTTGTCTCCTGTGGAAAATAGTAGGACACAGAACTATTGCGGCAGTTTTCGAGGTCGCTAGTTCCTGAAATGTGTCGGTTCACGTGTAACGTGTAGAAGAGAGAAACGCGGCGTGACTTCGACGATGACATATGGATACCTCGTTGGGGTCAGTCGTGAATAATGAAGAATTGTGTGGTGTTTCAACCAACGGTTTACATCTCTGCGGTTGGGAAACTAGAACGAAGGTTCCTCAGAGAACAAACAAACCTCCTCGATTGGATAACTGTGAAACCCTCGTCGAATCGAGGAGTTTGTTTGGTCTCTGAGGAGCCCTCTTGTTAGCTTCATAACCTCAGAGATGTATGGCCGTTGGTTGACCCTATTGTAGATTGCCGTCACAACGTACGTCTCTCTTACCGAAAACATAGGTGCTCACTCTCTGTCCACACGTGGCCTTCCCCCCTATGCCATCTATCGCGCCCAGTTCCACAAGAGCGAAGACGGTGCAATGACCACCGTAGTCAATCTCGGAACGCACACAAGGACGGAGTTGGAAAGGGTCAACGTCACCCCGACCAAGACGGACGCTGCTTCTGCCGATTCTTCTGATTCTCCTCATGAGGCCGAAGGTCGGTCGTGTTCGACGACGCCTCCGCGTCTCCTTTGAGTCTTTGAGTCACGCTTGCTCGCCAATTGAAACCCGCCGTGCTTTTTCGACGTACTGCTGTACCACACCACTATCGCTGTATGAGGCAAATAGTGGCCGGCCCCACCCGGACTCTGCCGTAATTGCTGATCTCGTCCTAGGCATCTCACACTGCTCAAATGTCCACGCACGACCAGCACGAAGTTGTCATACCGCCACACGAACTGCCAAGACGAAGACTCTGAATCTGCCGCTTGGCTCTCAGCATTTTTTACCCTGGCATTTGCTGAAGATCACTATTGTGCTTTGTGCCTCCCTGTTGTTGACCCTACCCTTGGCCTGCCTCTCTTTCCGTAATCACAACAACAACCACATCTGGGCGCCCTTAGTGGCTCGAGCTTTGAATAATAAGAAGTCGAAGGGTGGAAATGATGGTGGCCGGCACGAGTCACAGAACGATGACCTCTTCCAGGGAATAAACGACGTTTCGGAGCTGGCCGCGGTATACGATTACTATGAGGTATGCTGCTCAACACTCTGTATGTGCGTGTTTTGCTTGCGATGTTGTGTTGGTCCCTTCCAAGTGTTTTCCGAGTAACGGAGCGGCTTCGCACGCAAGGGATACTTGCAAAGAGAACAGGAGTGGGCCACGGTGTTGGAAGTGAAGAAATCGTCGTCAAAGATGCATTCAATCTAAACAAACAGCAGTTGGGGGATCATCTCATCGGCGCTCAGTCCTGTTCAAGTAGTCGGCAATACAGTGCGTTCGAGGGTTCAAGCTGAACCCTCGTTCGTTTGTTTTGTTGCCGGCGCGCGTCCGGTGGTATCCTAATTCTTCCAACACCACGTATGTGGGCCCAGGCCTAGATGAACGAACCACCAGTTGTCTATCAACAGCTTCATATTTTCCCGCTGTTCAACGTTTGGCGCCTTAGTCCCTATGTCTGGTGATGTTGTCGTGGCCTGACGCCATAGGGAGGAGATGTGTGCGAAGAAACTGGAGCGCGCCGATTCCTGAAAACGACGATCAGCTGTTGTACGGCGAATGACGTCTCGGCTGGAGGTGACTCTGCGGACCCCTTGGCGATTCTAGTTTCGTTACAGGTGGGAAAAGACTCCCGGACGCCAGTCGTCGGGTTTGTAACGTTTAAGTTTTGACCGGGGCTGCATCTGTTTTGAATTCCGTCGTTATTGTCTTGACGGTACCGTCCTGTGATGCTAGATTCTGCGAACTGTTTTGTTCGCCCCGCGCATCAGATTACTGTAGTCAGCGCCTGGTCGGTCGGCTGCTCTTTATCCAGGAGGCAATTTGTGTCGGTGGAGTCTCTTCTTGCAACAGGGTCTCCTTAAGTATGTATCTTTTCCCTTAGCGCGGTCTATTCTCCTATCATCTAGGCTGGGGTTCAAGTCGAGGCCGTAAAATGGAGGTCCTCTTTCCTCTGCGTACGACGCTTTTGTCGGATGTCCGGTGCGGTACTCCCCTTGTGTATGCTAGAACAGATCTCCTCTCAACGTGTATAGTCGAGGCGACCTCTGCTCCTGGCCTTCATCGCCACTGTAGACAAAAATTGTCGACACCGGGTTCGATCTGATTGTCCTGGCGGCTGGGAGACCTCGGAGACGACCGGCGTCATCATTCCACCAATCACTCACGACCTATGTGGCAAGATCCCGCGCCCCTCCCTTCCCCCCTCTCTCCCCGCTCCTCTCTCCACAGGAGGTTTCGATCTGTTCCTATCTGATCCAGGTATGTTCCCGACTCCTGTGTCCAGCGGCAACCGATGGGCTGACCCTCGGCCTGGGGCAAGAAGCAGTGGTCTCGAGCGGGGTAGTGGTGGAGGGCAAGGTCGGCGGTGTTTTGGGTCTTCTGCAAGAGTTGAAGGCTTGCTTTCCCCCGAAGTGAGAATGGTGATGATGAGAGTGATGGTGATGGTGACGATGGATATGTTTGATGCAGTTTGCGGATGGATTCACCCGTACTGAGATTCTGCTTCGTAGCGGTGAAAAAATGGGATTGACGGACGTAAAGACACGTGCGCGAAGCTGCAGCTTGCGTGTCTGCCGAGATGTGTCCTATGTCAAGTGAACGGTATCGTGAGTCTGTTGCAATAATCTCGGCCCTGTAGAATGCGCTCCATGTTACGGAAGTGTGATGGTGCTTGCACGGCGTCTAAAATGTGTGAATCAGTATCCGACCAGTTGGCTTGCTCCGACCTTTTGCACATGTGTGTGTGTGTGTGTGCTTTTATTATTAGCATCGACCGCGCTAACCGGCTGACCAATGAAAAGACGTCAGTCTCAGTGCGGCGAGAAACACAAAATGTTTCTATAGTCCACTATCTGTGTGTGTGTGTGTGTGTGTGTGTGTTTCCCCTTCAATAAATCTTGTTCGCCATCACTACTGGTCGATGCGGATGGTTACGCTCCGCGTTTATATGGGGCGTCACACGCACGGCGGTGTTGAGGCTATCGATCGCGCGCCCTGTATCTAGTCCAGTCGTGGTGTGCCATTACTCACGCTCCCCTTGATGACCGTTACAACACTCACCCTCTGATCCCCAGTACAACAAATGTCTGCCCCTCCCGAATCCTTGCAACTAGGAAGGAAACGTGGTGGGCTTACAAGTTGTGCATCTCCACTACAGGGTTTAGTCAGTACCACGAGGACTTGTTCCGGAAGGCGGATGGGAGCCTCATGTCCAAAGTCACGGTGGGTCTCGGACGCATCACCGGTGTGTCAGTGGAATTCGTTCGGGCTTGGGTCGGTCAGTCAACGAACGCGCGCACGGTTGTTCGCCCTGGACTGCGTGTGACGAGTTTTGTCTCCGTGGGAGTGTGGTACGATACAAGATTCGCACGGGAAAAAGTTGGGTTTGGCCCTTGCGGCGCGCGGGGACACGTAGCTAAATAGGAATTTCCCACCACCACAATGGTTGCGAACTCCTCTGTTTTTGACGCTATTTTTGAATGTTGGTGACCGCTGAGATGGCGGATGCCTCGCCCCCCCGGCCGGCTCATTGTCAGCGGCTTCTATTGTAGACCCCTAGAATACAAGAGCCAAGCTTGCACTTGTGTTTGGAGCCTGGATGTTATTCCCGCCGAATGCCAGTTGCGGCAGTTGCCGATTTCCGAAAAGGGTGTAGACGCTGGGTGTGAGTGGCGGCACCGTGCATCGAGTGAATGTGCCGCAATGCACACGAGGGCCTCCGAGAGTATAGGGATGATGCAATACGTATTGCTTGCTGCAGGCAACAGGAAATACATGCATGAGTGCCGCCAGGCCCACAAGATATGTCGATATCTTTGGTCCAGGGGGCTTCGTATGTGTCCAGGGTGCTAATGTCGGATGACCCGTGCAACGTACCACGTTATCGCCTTGGGCTACATCAGGTTTCGTGTCAAAACCTACCCTCGTTACGCGCTACGTTACAGATGAGGCTCGTTTAATGCCTTGTGTCTTCAGCAAGTTCCATGATGCTGGTCGGACCAACCAGGAACTGTCCACACGTTGCCCCTGTAGTCAGTCCCTCACGGGACTTCTGCTGGCGTCTGTTTGCTTCTTCTAGACTGAATTTTCTCTAGGTAAGTGGGACAAATCGAAGGTCACCGGCGAGGGCGAAGAGCTCATCCGTCCACGACAAGAAGAAGGAGAGGGAGGTACCATCATTCTAGAGGTGATCGACTGTGAATCGAGTACAACCACGCGTGTGATGTCATCACGATGCATTATTTGGCGTCAGTTTTACACCGTTCGTGTGCTTCGACGCACCAGCTACACTCACGCAGGAGGATTGCTACACAGTTGGTTGTTCCTCTCCACCTTCCTTTGATGGTGTCTTTTCAATTTCAACCATTGGTATGCAAGCACCACTTCGTGTACCTGTACCCTTGAGCCCGTCTTCATTTTCTTCATGGCTCTTTTTGTACTTCCGCCGTAATACACGGATTCAGCTTACCGGAGGCACCGAGTGCGACCTCACAGGAGCTCTTCGGTCGACCACGGTGCATCTCAAGTGCGGCAATGTGCAAGAAGTCAGAGAGGTCATGGAGGACCACACTTGCCACTACCGCGTCCTGGCCATTTCGCCGCTTCTGTGCAGGTAGGCGATGAGCAGGAGATCGTTTGGCCGATCAAGGTTGATGAGTGGAAAGATGCGTTGTGCCAGCTGGTAGAAGTGTGTTGCCATGCCATCGACGGCACTTCCGCATAATCTCAATGTCGCAAGCGTATTCGCCGTCCACGGAACGGCAAGAGCGAGAACTTCGTTTTGGGGGCGTGCACGTCACACCAGGCTAAGCACGCCAGCTGGCAAGTCCATTAGAAAACATGGCATTCGTCCCAAACGATTGTCGGGTAAGACGTGACAGACAACAGTTTTGAAGACCCTGTGTTGGAGCAATGAGAAAGGTGGGCGCCTGTCTGACATGACGAGGGGTGCTCTACGCAGGTAAAGACCTTGACTTGAACCGTTGAGCTTGAGTGCCAAGGTACATGTCAGGTATTTGGAAGTACACTGCACGCTCGAGACACCAGACACCCGCATTCGGTTGAATCTACCTGCACACGCGAAGTACATAGTGTAGAACACGATGCGCCCCTGTTTTTTTGTGACGTGTGTCGTGCTGTGCCCTCCTCTATGTACCCTACAACCGCAGCCACCCCGCACTTACGCCGAAGAAAGCGGTCGTCCGCACAGTCGATTGCGTCGCCGAGGGCAATACACAGGGTAAAAAGTCCAAGAAGAACCAGAAGCACGTGCTGTCTAGCGTCCGTTCGCCCAGTGACTGACTGCTGAGCCTTATGCGTTGTAACCACTGCTTGTGGGTGGGGCTTCGCTGCCATGTCGTGGGTCGGCGATGTTGTGTATCGTGTGCCACACACACACCACGTTATTGAGAACATGGCAGGGACAAACTTGCTGAATGCAGTGATGTTGCTTCTGTTGGGCGCTGGGTGTCTTGTAGAAATTATTGATGCAGCTCAGTTTTAGCTGTTGTTCGATAGTCTTTGCTTGCCCATCACGGTTGATCGAAGAAGCGAGCCGTGTGGCTTTGTCTTTTGTGTGCGGCTCGGTTGCGGTCTTGTACGGAAGAAGTTAGAATGAGACAGGACGACGGGTCACACAAGGTGATGCGAGACTGCTTGATGTTCGTTGTTTTGCAAGTCCGTGCGTGTGGCTGCCTCACCTCCCTAGTCTCTTCCTCACTTTGTGTACGTACTCGATGTATGATCAGCGAATTTGGTGTCTTCATGGGTGCGTGCCCTTTGCAATACGATCCATGGCTTTGTAGATCCTAGCTGTGGAGCAGGCCAATCAGTGTATCGACCACCACATATTCGCGTCGAGACCTTGTTTGTGTGAACAATATTCGAACCCCGTGTTTTCTGTGTAACTCGTGTGAGGTGGGTGCGGCAGGGACTGACCGTTCTCGATCATTGTTCACGTCATGGACAGGTCAGCCACGTTTTATATACGCTTGTGTGCCACCGCCAAGCAAGAGAAGATTCATCAGATGCCGTCGGTGGGAAAGCAAACTACTTCGAAGTAGATTATGTTGCCCGATCGGCAATGTAATGCCTGTTGCGCGAACACGGGCATTCGTTCTAAAGTTGGTGTGGCCAACTGACCAAGGATGAATGATTCCCTTCCTCGTCAAGCCATGGCAGGAACGCTCAAATTTTACATCGCCCGTCCGGTCCGCAGTCAACAATGGTACTAATAATACATTTCAATAATCGAAAACGGTAGTAAGACGCCAAACATCTGTCCTGAGTTTTGTGACGCTACCACCACGGCGGCTACTAAGCTATCGCTGTTATCGCACGAGCGGTGTATCGCAAAGCAAGCAAATACCCGGTCAAGACCGAAACCGGGAGTCCTCTCTCACCGCTCTCTCTGGGTCTAGTGCAGCCTCCCAAAGTAGAGATTGCAAATCAAGTTGCGGGACATTCTTTGGGCCAAATCAAGCTCACGGCTTGTCACAAAAATACGTAAGAGTCAAGCCTTTCTCATTAAGGACTATTTTGTACAACTTTCGTGCGTCACTTGCATCACAGGGATCGGTTCGGCCTGGTCGAACAGTCGGGCAACAAACCTGTCTTGCTCACCAACGAATACACGGTACATTGAAGCCATCTGACACGAATAAGAACAACACACCATCATCCTCGGTGAGGGATAAAAACATCCAGCAGGACTCTTCCACACCTAAATCTCCACCGAACTACCTGTCAAAACTAGTGTACCTAGGCGCTACATATCAACGCGGACTCCTAGACGCTAATACCAATGCGGACTCGCGTGCTTCATCGAGCTCGATGCGCGGCCACGACAGCCTCCCGAAGTTTCTGCTCGAAATCACGCTTCTCTACGCAGCCGTCGCAGGGATCACCGTGCGCCAAGAGAAGCTCACGCAATTGCTTCACGCGGAGCTTTGAGAAGTCATCGTCCGGCCGTAACGCCGCAGCTGTCGCAGTTATGACGAGGAAAGGCAAGGGCGATGGACAAAGACGGCAATGGGGGATAAGACTTTGTAGGGTAGAGGTGAAGATACAACCAGGGATTCGGGTGGGGCGGGGGGCAAGACTGCGGCGGCGGCAGGACGTAAACAGGCTCGGCCAAGAAAAACCCTGGGGAAAACCGTGGATGTGATTTCATATGCATGCGCATTTCGTCAGAACTTACACCATACTGCAAGACATCTATTTTGAGGGGATGCGATTCCTATGAACTCGCGGACTACACACAACAGATGTAATACTTGTTCGTGGTGCAATGCTCAACGTTAAGGGGGGCCACAAGTTAGCAAACGGTGGGGCACACACAGCTGAACACCCTCTTCACCTCTTTCACGGGCCTCTGCATTCGTCTTAATGGCATCCTTGCACTTCTTGCCGTCTCTCAATCCTTTAACGAAGGCATCGAGGGGCTCGGCCTTGAGCTCTCCCTGCCGGTCACGTCAAACAGATACAGAGGCACACCGACGACAAATGTTGGCCAGATGAACGGGAAAAAGAAACGTGGGCGGGTCCCGTGCGATCCCAGACGGAAATGAGAGGCGTGCGACAATTCTCCACGAGCCGGAGCCAGCAAGTCGCGCTATTTGGCAAAAAAATGGCTTTCCCCTTTAAAGAGAGCCACTGCTGTGGTTGACACTGAGAAAGACCGAAACGTTAGACAAATCGCACACAAGGCAAACAAGGCGGACAAATCAGCCACCGCGAATGGGACACGGCGAGAGCAACACTGTGCACAGCAATAACTTTTCTCGTGCAATCCCGCAGATAACCCTCCCCCCCCCCCCCCCCCCCCCCCCCCCCCCCCCCCCCCCCCC